TCTGCCCCATGAGAGCTCTATTGCTTGACATGAGAGATTGGGGCTAGTGGTTCTAAAGGAAATAGAGTGGCAAGAAATTCAGGATGGAATTCGGGGTTTGGAGAGTTATGATGATGTTCCAGAAGAAGACGACTTAACTATATTTGAATAAATGTAGATTGTTGTGCTGTACTTTAAAAAAATAACACATCCCCTGAAAATAAGCCTAAGTGTCTTCTTGAGGAAAAATAAATATAAAACCCTGTCTTATTTTCGGGGAAACATGGTAGCTGGGACTACAGGTGCATACCACCATGCCTTGCTAATTTTTCCTTTTTTTTTCCATAGAGATGGGGTCTCACTCTTACCTAGGCTGGTCTTGAGCTCCTGGTCTCAAGTGATCCTTCTGACTTGGCCTCTCAAAGTGCTAGGAATACAGGTGTGAGCCACTGTGCCATTTGCTATTTTAGAGTCTTTACTATGCTTTTCAATTCCACTATGATTACCTTCCCATTTCTAACATCATAATCAAGACTATATTTATTGACCTATTACAATTAAGTAATGACTAAGCCTTTAGATCATATTTATTTTTCTATTGCCTCCCCTCTCAACACCTCCCTTTTGTTAGGGTAGACATATTTCTAATCTAGGGTTTTAATTGGGTTTGTCTTTAGTTCATTTCTTCCGTTTCTTTTGTTAAGATACTTAGAACAATCATTATAAGTTTTTGGATTTTTTATTACTTTCTCAAGAAGGAGGCTACAAGTCTAAGGAGGGAAAGTGAACATGCCAGCCATATTCATGATCTCAGGTGAGCAGGATGTTGAAGAATAACTTTCTGTTTCAGGACTTTCTTACCATATACACTCTATCTCCAGCCCTGTGGAGTTTGTGGAGATTCTGCAGATATGTTCCATGCTTCCCCCTTCCCTGACTGGAATGTTTTTACTTCCAGATCCATCTCCATCTTCCCAGACCTATATCCTCCAGAACCCTCTTCCGACCCAAACCCCATGTGAGCACCTCTTCCTTTGAATCCAGCAAGGCACCTCGTTACTAGTTCTTCTGATACTTAACCTCACCGGGCCTTGCTATTACTGAGGTTAGGGTATTTCCATACCTTCACTCGTCCCCTCTTGTGGTCCATGAGAATGTATCTTATCCCTGTATCCCCCAGTGCCTAACACAGTCCCTGGCACATAATACATACTGACCTGAAATGACTAGATGTGAATCAAGGAATCACTCACTTGTGTGGCAAAAGAAGCAGACTTTGATTTAGTGAAGACTTTTGTGCACTTTTATGTTTCGCATCTAAGAGACCATGTGTTTTTAGGAAAGAATTGTTTTCATCATGCCCTAGATGTGCACATTCTTAAAATTCTTCTTTCTAAAAGCAAAACATTTATCACTCAGTAATGATGTTAATAACTATCCTTCTAGGATGAGGCCTCCCATCCTGTACTGCTACAGTATCCTTGGAATTTTGATCTGTTTAGGAGCTAGGCCTTAAAAAGTAGTAACATGAATTTTTCATATATCCTTATCCTGTTACTTCTTGTTTTGTCAACCAGACACAAGAGTTTGGCTCTCAATTACTAAGGTGTCCATGTTAAGGTATAAATGCTGTTTAGAAAAAAAAATTAAATATGTTTCATGCTTCTTTTTCTTTTCTTTTTGCTTTTTCTATTGACATATAATAGCCGTACATATTTTTGGAGTACACATGATATTTGGATACATGTATACAATGTGTCATGATCAAAATTAGGGAAATTGGGATTTCCATCACCTCTAACATCTTTTCTGCCTCTCTCTCTTTCTTTGAAATAGGGTCTCAGTCTGTTGCCTGGGCTAGAGTGCAGTGGTGTCATCATAGCTCACTGTAGCCTCTGACTCCTGTTCTCATGTTATCATCCTGCCTCAGCCTCCCAAGTAGCTGGGACTACAGGCACATGCCACCACAGCAGGATAATTTTTAAATTTTTTATAGACAGGGGAGTCTCATTCTTGCTCCAGCTGGTCTTGAACTCCTGGTCTCAAGTGATCCTCCTGCCTTGGCCTCCCAAAGTGCCAGGATTACAGGTGTGAACCACTGTGCATGGCTTTTTCTGGTTCTTTTTAAAAATAATTTTTTGTCTCCTTGTTACTATTTCCATTTGTTTAGTAAGTATCTTTCAAGAGCTTGCTGTAGCTGCCCCTGTACTGCTGCTGGAGATACACACTGTACTGTTCTTGCACAAGGGTTCCTCGTTTAATGGGATCAGATGAGTAAACAGAGTGATTGCCCTCAGATGGGGCAAAAATCTGCAAGTGGGGAAGCCGGAGGCAGAGCTCCTATCTTGCCTTGAGTACCAAGGAATGCTTGTCAGAGAATATAAGGATGAGAAGGCTATGAGGATGAGGAAGAGTCAGCCAGATACAAGTGCTGGAAGGTCAGGGAAGTAGAATAGTGTGTTGAGCACAGATAATCAAGTACTAGGGAAAGTCTGCACATTGGAAGACATGCAATTATTTCAGAATGGTTGGCGTGTCCCAGCAAGAGATGTAGCATTTCTGTCAATCCTTCGTTTTATTTATTTTTTAGGAGTACAATGTCAAGGCACAGTGGTTTAGCCATATGACAAAACAAGCTCTCCCTGTTGCAGTTGAGACCAAGCAAACATGTACTAGCTATAGCTCTTAATTGCTGAGCTTAAGGGCCCAGCCTTGGCCTCCCCACCTCGATATTTCTTAAGTGCAGGAACAGTATCTGATTCACTCTCTGCTTTGTTCCCAGCCGTGTCACAGTGCCTTGTAGCTGAGAAAATAATTGTTGCATGAATAAGATAGCTACCTAGCACCCTGGGGGAGATGAATATTACTCCTTGGTGCACTATTGGCAGTTTGGGGCACCTGGGTCCTGGGGTGTCTCTGACATGGTTAACTTAGCTGCAGGCCTCATATGACAGGTTTGCTAAGGAGAATCTACTCAAAGATCAGTGATGGCCTTGATATTGTCAGCCAATTAATTCCTTAAGTACTCTAAGTTAAGAAAAACTGATTTGATTTTATCTGTCTTTTAAGATTGATCTTTGATCATGTCCCATTCCAGCTGGACCTCCTCTCTTCTTCTTCCCTCCTCTATTACTAATGGTGTGGAATCTAATTACCTCATCACTCCTTAATTTATTTATGAAAAGGCTGAGGTTAAAGTAGAGAACGTACCTCCTGGGCCCTTTGGGGACCTTCTGTAAAAGCTTTCCTTTCCCTTTCTCCTTCCTTACTCATGACAAAGCCTCTCTTTTCTGTCTCTGGTAAGTTAGAATAGCTCTTATTTACAAATTTAAATAAATTAAACTTCCCTCCCAGGGCTGGGTGGAGGCTGGTCCTTTGGGTTAAGCCTGGCTTGTCAATTCCCTGTGGATTAATCAATCTATCAGTGCTAACTCAGTGATCTTAAAGCAAGCCGCTTTCAAAACCTGCACACAGTTCCTAGACTTCCTGCCTCCTTCTTCACAATTGGGGAAGAGGAGTCTTTTGACATTTGAAATTTTATTATTACACAATACATGGATACATTCATCTTGTAAAAATCCAAATACAGAAATATCTGGAATAAAAAATGAAAGGCTTCTTTTCTTCTTGCATCCCATCCCACTGTTAAGAGCTTGGGATGTATCCTTTATGTTTAGGCCTTTAAATAGTGTATTTTCATACATGTATGCCTATATAACTGCACATCCAATTTTAAAATAACATAAATGGTATCACTATGTAAGTGCAGTTGTGCTAGTTATTGTTGTTATTCCATTTAACATGTCCCGAGCATTCAGTCAGACCACAGATCTACGTTTTAATGGCTGTAATGGTTCAGCAAAACACATACCTTCATTGGTTACAATAAATAAATAAAAAAGAAAAAATACAAAAAAATGGCTGTAATAGTACTTCACAGGATAGAAGTACTATTATTTATTTATCCATTTCCTACTGATGGGCATTAACATAGTTTCCATCCCTTCTCTTTTTTTTTTTTTTTGAGACAGACTCTCGCTTTGTTGCCCAGGCTAGAGTGAGTGCCGTGGCGTCAGCCTAGCTCACAGTAACCTCAAACTCCTGGGCTCAAGCGATCCTCCTGCTTCAGCCTTCGGAGTAGCTGGGACTACAGGTATGCGCCACCATGCCCGGCTAATTTTCTCTCTATATATTAGTTGGCCAATTAATTTCTTTCTGTTTATAGTGGAGAGGAGTCTCGCTTTTGCTCAGGCTGGTTTCGAACTCCTGACCTCGAGCGATTCTTCTGCCTCGGCCTCCCAGAGTGCTAGGATTACAGGCATGAGCCACCGCGCCTGGCCATCCATCCCTTCTTATAAGTTAAAAAGAAAAAAAATAAATAACAGTTTCCAATTTTTTTTGTATTACAATTTATGTTGCCAGTACCGGTTCTCTGGGAATTATCCATTCAATCATGCATTTATCGTGGGCTCACCATGTGCCAAACACTACTCTGGGTCGGGGGTAAACAAAACAGAAGTAAAAACAGTTCTGAGTGACTGAAAGGGGACATTTTCTTCTTCCAAGAGGGTGACAGGCTCAAGATGGGTCTCTATGCCAACTCAGGAGGCCGAGGAAGCCGTCGGGGTGTCTCCCCAGCTGTGAAGGGGGCCAAGGAACCGTAGATGCTGGGCTGTAGATTCCCCATGGATTAATCAATCTACTAACAATAAATCATTGACTCCAAAGCAAAGTGGAGTATGCTTTTCACACACGCCCAGGATCTGGGGGCCATAGGGCGCAGCCGCCCATTACAACACAGCACGCCCGGAGCTGAGCCGGACACAGGCCACGGGTCCGGCGGGGCGGGGCCGAGCTGCGCGCGACCCTCGGCGCGCTCGGGGAGGCCCGGACGGGGGTAGCCTCTCTGGCCCCCTCTCCCGCGGGCTCTATGACACCGCACTGGCTCGCGGGACGAGGCGGGGTCGGCTGTGGGGGAGGAGACAATTCCACGCCATACGTCTCGGGGTGAACTGCACGCGGAACTCTCTCGCGAGAATTAGGAAGTACCGCGCTTGCGCACTGCAGTAGCGCCGGGTGGTGGAGGCTGGTCTGCTGTCGAGTGTGTAAGGGCAGACTGTGTGGTGGCCCCTGCGCTCCCCTGGGACTCGCCACCATGAGCAGCACCTTAGCTAAGATCGCGGAGATAGAAGCCGAGGTAAAGGCCACAGTAGGCGCTTCACTCCCAGTCCGAGCATCCCTTTCCGGCAGCGTCGCTCCTGTCTGTTCTCCCTTCATCCGCGTCGGAACCGGGCCCAGGTCACCCGACTTCTCTCAGCCAGGCCCCTGCTCCCTACTGCTTTCTGCCCAGGCTTGCGTTCCCCGACGCTCCCCAGTTCCTCTCAGCCTGGGCCCACGTTCTCCGACTCCCCTCAACCCGGGCTCCCTTTCCTTTCATCCCGTGCTGTCGTTCCCGGACTCGCCTCTGCCCAGGCCCGCGTCCTGCACGCCTGCACCTTGGGCCCTTGGGCCCTTAGTCCCCACCCCTGTCAGTATTCGGTTCCTGTCCTTAGAGTGTTTCTTTGAGTTTTTCTTCCTTTTCTCTGAACAACACGGAATCCTGTTCCTTACTCCAGCCTGGTCACATACTTCAGGATCCTTGCCATCCCTTGCTCTGCTTCCCTTACCCCCCTTCTTAACCCAAGCTTTACCCGAATGACCCCCTTTTCCAGAGTATTGCGTCTGGCAGTAGGATCTGGAAGTAAGTTGACTTATGTGGGGTGGCAGCTGATTGCACCTGGATAGTGTGTGATTCCATTGCCTGAGGCGCTCAGAACTCTTTAAAATCAGGAAAGTGGTGACCCTGTATCAGATGGGACACAGCAGGTACAACCAGTAGAAAAAGAATCATCAGATGAGTTTTAGTGTAGTCTGTGGACACTAATTGGAATGACTTGATCTTGTCTCTTCTCTGTAGTAGGACCTAGGGTAAAAAATTATTCTCTAAGAGCAGGGAGAACATTCATTCTGTATGTTTTACTCTGTGGGAACTGCTTCTGATTTATAGCTGTGATTCCTCTCTTATAGATGGCTCGGACTCAAAAGAACAAGGCGACAGCACACCACCTAGGGCTGCTAAAGGCTCGCCTTGCTAAGCTTCGTCGAGAACTCATTACTCCAAAAGGTGGTGGTGGTGGTGGACCAGGAGAAGGTTTGTGTTTTTCATGGTATATTTTTTGGGGTATAATTTCTGTTAGGATAGTACATATGTTTGGTTTAAGAATAATTAAATTTGGTTGAGTGTGGTGGCTCACGCCTGTAATCCTAGCACTCTGGGAGGCCGAGGCAGGAGGATTGCTCAAGGTCAGGAGTTCTAAACCAGCAAGAGCGAGAGTGAGAGCTGAGCAAGAGGGAGACTGTCTCTACTAAAAATAGAAAGAAATTGGCCAACTAAAATATATAGAAAAAATTAGCCGGGCATGGTGGCGCATGCCTGTAGCTACTCGGGTGGCTGAAGCAGAAGGATTGCTTGAGCCCAGGAGTTGGAGGTTGCTGTGAGCTAAGCTGACACCACGGCACTCTAGCCTGGGCAACAGAAGTGAGACTCTGTCTCAAAAACAAAAAGCTAATAATTAAATTTTTTCTATCAAAATAGATTGTATTTTCTAAGTGTGAATTCTTGAATTGTGTTTATTTTGTTCTGCTGGTTTCTGGGGCAAATGAATATTGTCTAAGTGAACTACCATTTTATTTATTTATATGCTGCATTGGTACAAAATAGATTTGCATTGGCTTACAGAAATACATAAATCTATACCATCAGCAAGATTAAATAAGGAAATTGATGCAAAGAGGAAACGAAGATAGCAATAATAAATTGGAGCTAAGTGAGATAAGATTAGGACCCAAAGGGATGGCATATGGTCTGTGTACTCACTAGAAAAGGGCCACAAATTTGCCTCTGAACTTAAGTTGTAGCTACTGTAAAAAAAAAAAAAAAAAAAGAAAGAAAGAAAATCCAGTCAGTCACACAATTTACAATTCCCAAGGTTTGTAAAACCAGAAAAAAAAACCAAAACCCTATTTTTTTTTATAATTGTTATATAATATTTGGGCCTTAAATTTGTCTCTCTTTCTTTTTTAAGAGACTGGGTCTTGCTTTATTGCTCAGGCTGGCCTCGAACTCCTGGGGACTTCAGCCTCCCAAGTAACTGGGACTACAGGCACATGCCACCAAGTTCAGCTTTTTGGAGTACAGTTTTTATATCAAACACTGTATTGAATGTTGTGGATTTCTATGGGGGAGTTTTGTGTGCTTGAGTTCTAATTTACAGGTAAACTATAAAAAATTCGAGAAATAGGGGGTAGAGGGAGAGGCAGTGAAAATGTGAAAGAAATTACATGAGTTTTAACACTCCTGGAGATAACTCTCCTATTTTTGATATTTATTGATGTTTTAGGTTTTGATGTGGCCAAGACAGGTGATGCTCGAATTGGGTTTGTGGGTTTTCCATCTGTGGGGAAGTCAACACTGCTCAGTAACCTGGCAGGGGTATATTCCGAGGTGGCAGCCTATGAATTCACTACTCTGACCACTGTGCCTGGTGTCATCAGATACAAAGGTGCCAAGATCCAGGTGAGTCAGGCCTGTAGGCCAAAGAAGGAAGAAATCCATTCTTTTGTTTGTTTAGGAAGAGCTTTATTGGGAGCTCACTGTATGCCAGGCCTGATCTTTGGGTTTATCAGGCCCTTATTGTCTAGCAGGGGAGATAGAGCAGTACATAAATACAATAATACAATGGGATAGTGCCTGTGAAAATGCAGACAAAGAAGAGAAGGGTCTACTTTTTCACCTGAGGATGAGGAGAATGCTCTGGTTAGGCAAAGAAGGCTTCATGTGGAAAGTGACATTGGAGATAGGTCTTGAAGTTAGAATAAAATTTCACCAGGCAGAGAGGGACAAGAAAAGGGCATTTCAGACAACAGAAATGGTGAACAGCCTGCTGTCATGTGAGAAAAGGTGTAGGGCAGGAGTGGTAGAAGCTGAATCTGGAAAGCTGGGTTGGGGCTGAATTATGAAAGGACTTGTATACCGCTAAGGAAGTTGAATTTTATCTTGTACGTAACTCGAAACCATCAGAAACTTTTAAATAAACAACATGATCAGACACTTTTAGGAAGTAATTCTTATTTGTGAGGCCTAATGAAGTTGGTCTTCTGAGATAGTCTTAGATGATAGATTTAGGGCTCCCAAAGGAGGGGTTCCCATGGGTATGAAAGAAGATGTACAAAAATATAATGGAACATATTCTTATTTGGCTGCAGAGCTAAGAATGCAAGGTTCTAACTCCATGATATTTATTAATAAATCTGTCTATGTACTAGGTTCCCAAACTCTTGTTTAACAGCACACTTAGTATCTTAGTAATTAATTTCACGTTACCCTTTCATGTCTCAGTAATTTTTTATGTTGCCCCTAGGCCAAAAAAACTACCTAATGATCTGTTAACACCTTTCCTATCGTTTTCTCGTGTTTCAAACACCATCTGTTATGGACCTTAGATGTCAACACACTGTCTTGTTCATTAGGGAGAGTAGAGGTTTACCGCCAAATTTGCAAATGAAAACAACAAGAATGAAGAAAGGTGACACAATATACAAGCGAGTTGTCCGAATGATATCAACGATCCATGACACTTCTGTCTCGACAACAGGAAAAAAAAATAGAAAAACGGGAGAGAATATTGTAAAACCTGCCTGCATCAAGGAATACAATGCTCACATGAAAGGTGTTGACTGTGCGGATCAGTTCCTTTCGGGTTGTTCCATTCTAAGGAAAACGATGAAATGTACAAAAAAAATAGTTCTGTACCTTATATACTGTGGACTTTTCAATTCATTTAGAGTGTACAACATCCTCAATCCGCAAGCAAAAATGAAGTATAAACAGTTTCTGCCATCGGTGGCGAGAGACTGGATAACTGATGACAATAATGAAGGCCCTCCGGAACCAGAGACAAATCTGTCCAGCCCTTCCCCTGGGAGTGCAAGGAGAGCACCTCGTAAAGATCCACCCAAAAGGTTGTCAGGTGATATGAAGCAGCGTGAACCTACGTGTATTCCAGCGAGAGGAAAGAAAAAATTTCCTATGAGAGCCTGCAGAGTTTGTGCCACCCATGGAAAAAGGAGCGAATCTAGATACTTATGTAAATTTTGTTTGGTCCCTCTTCATAGAGGGAAATGTTTTACGCAGTACCATACATTAAAAAAAGTACTATTAACTTTATTTTATTTTTTTTGAGACAGAGTCTCACTTTGTTGCCCAGGCTAGAGTGAGTGCCGTGGCGTCAGCCTAGCTCACAGCAACCTCAAACTCCTGGGATCAAGCAATCCTCCTGCCTCAGCCTCCCGAGTAGCTGGGACTACAGGCATGCACCACCATGTCCAGCTAATTTTTTCTATATATATTAGTTGGCCAATTAATTTCTTTCTATTTATAGTAGAGACAGGGTCTCGCTCTTGCTCAGGCTGGTTTGAAACTCCTGACTTTGGGCAATCCGCCCGCCTTGGCCTTCCAGAGTGCTAGGATTACAGGCGTGAGCTACTGTACCCGACCGTAAAAGTACTATTAACTTTAATTGTTTCATTGTCTTTGTTAATAAAAATGTTATAATTATTGAAAAACAACACCTAAAGAGCATTATGATCTGTAGTTATGATGATTTAAATAACGTGCAGTTTGCCCAAAAATGTGCAGTCCCTGGCGTATATCTTTGAAATTTCTATGCGGTACGAAATGTGTTTAAATAGGTCTAAACAATGGTAAGTATTTATGTTCCTATAGCAATAGGCATTTCCTAATAGGATATGTGTATCTGTTGGGTACCATATAACTCTTCAAACCTTGGACTCAGATTAGATACTGCCATGCCACATTTATTCCCTTTTTCACATTGATTTTTTTGTGGCACATATTTTTTACCATAGGAACTGCTGAAAATACCAAATTCCCAAAGATTTGGACCTGATATAATTGAAGGCAATGTAGTGGCATCTAATGTTGAAATTGTGAGCCACTGGAGTTAGTAGTTCCCTTGGTGCCTGATAAAAATCAAGAATTGCTGTGTTTCTCTTGAAAATTTAGAATATAATTGGCATCTATAAGAGTGCCTTGGCACATAGTTTGGGAACCATTGGTGTAGGCATTTGTTCTCCTTGCTGGGCTACACAGTGAATTATGAGGTGCATTCATATTTCTTTTGTTACAGAATCTGAAGTAGGAAGAGACCTATGTCTTAGTGGTATTTTCAGTGGCCCTTTTTCCTGTTGGTTCAGTGACCATGCAGAGACTGTACTGGAACATGACCCTTTCTGGAATCCCATGTGTAGATGTCTGTAACAAGAGCAAGGGCATGTGCACATGTCTGGGTTGATTCTAGCTGGTTTCAGACTCTTGTTGATAGTCATAGTTTGTGTAGCTCAGAGAATAACTTCTGTCCTTATGGGATGCTACTAACATCTCTTTCAGGGTTTCTGAGTGTATCAGAATAGAGAGCTGCTTAACCCCTCTTTTTTCTTCTCTTTTCCACAAAACCTTCATTTATTTCAGTCTCTCTTGACCTTTTAGAGTTCTCCCCCCTCCCTTGTTTTGCATGGTGCCTTCTTTCCCTCCTGTGCCCTCTGTCTGGTTTTCCTACTCTTGTGGCTTTCTCCAGAAACCAAGTTATGTAAGCATACTATTATAGTAGGTGTGCTTAACTGTATTAAGATGACTGCCCCACACAACTGTATCAACTCCCCTTAGAGGCAGAATAAAAAAATTTAAAAAAAAAGAAAGAAAAAAATATGAATTAAAAAAAAAAGATGACTGCCCCGAAATGTTTTTTAAAAAGTTATTTTATGGCAGAGGACTTGTTTTCTGTGACTTGGAGGGGGAGGTATACAGAATTAGAACCACTTAAAAATTAAAAAGAGGGGATTTTTGTTTTGTTTTATTTTGTAAGGAAGATCTTTAACAGTAAAAGTGCCTAAAAATCTAATGGTACCTCTTGTTTAATGAGTTACTGTGTCTGAAGGTGTTCAAGTAATGGCTGAACTGCCATTTACCATGTATGTTAATAAAGAAGACTGATGGAGCTGGGCATGGTGACTGAAGCCTATAATCCTAGCATTTTGGAAGGCCAAGGCGGGAATATCGCTTGAGACCAGGAGTTCGAGACCAGCCTGAACAAGAGCAAGACCCTGTCTCTAAGAAAAATAGAAAAATTATCTGGGTGTGGTGATTTGTGCCTATAGTCCCAGCTAGTTGAGAGACTGAGGCAGGAGGATTGCTTGAGCCCAGGAGTTTGAGGTTGCTATGAGTCATGATGATGCCACTGTACTCTAGCCTGGGCAACAGAGTGAGATCCTGTCTCAAAAAAAAAAGAAGACTGATGTATCATCACATAGGCAGATATTGGTCTGCAGAGTGGATATTCATCTTGCCAGGGTCCCTAGAACTATTGTTCTGTAACAGTTGACTTGCACATTTAAGTTAACTGCTTTAACTTCTAAGGGCATTTGAATTTGAAGTAGTTTAACATTCAGTTTCTTAAAATTCTATAATTCCATGATTTAAAGGAATTTTTTTCCTTATCTCTTGGTTATAATACGAAATTCAGTTATATAAAGCATTGGCTATTTTTATTGAATGAAATTTAGTTGCTACGTTTAAATAGTTAAACATAACTTTTAAAATATTTCCCTTTTGACGAAAAAAACAAAAAGAAAAAAAGAAAAAAAGAAAAACAAAAACAAACAAACAAACAAAAAATAAAATATTTCCCTTTCAAGAAAAGCTAAAGTTAAGTTGCTTTTATTTTTGAAGGGGCCTGTAATTTTCCTGCTGTGTTCAGCTGCCATAGTTTGAAAGCCCTTGCTCTTTTCCCCTCAGTTTATTATTTATTCTCTTTTTTAGATCTTTTATTTGATGTTACAGTCATATTTCAGATTTTACAATTTTAGATTATTTAGATGGATTTTCCTTTCAAGTTCTTGATAACATCAGTTGGGCTGAATATGCAAGAAAAAGCTTTTTGATGTGTGTGTGTGTGTGTTTTGTTTTTAAGCAGGAAGAAATTTACTAAGTGGTAGAAAGAGATTACAGAATCATTGGAAGGGCTGAGGAAACAGACTTTAGACTTAATTTCTAAGAACAATTGATGATGAACTTTTTGTTTTTTAAGAGACAAAGTCTTGCTCTGTCGCCCAAGCTTGAATGTAGTGACACGATCCATAGGTCACCATAACCTCAAACTCATGGGACCAAGTGGTCCTCTCATCTCAGCCTCCTGAGTAGCTGGGAATACAGGCTTGCACCACCAAATCTGGCTAATTTTTCTATTTTTTTAGAGGTGGCATCTTGCTTTTTTGTCCAGGCTGGTCTTGAACTCCTAACCTCAAGCGGTCCTTCTGCCTTGGCCTCCCAAAGTGTTAGGATTACAGGCATGAGCCACCACACCTGGCCAGCTGTTTGCATTTTTAAAGGTTTTTCAGGTTATTCTGATATGCTGTCCTGGTTAAGAATGGCTGCAAAAATTTTCTGTGAGTTGGGTATCTGCAAAAGTCTCAGTATGTATCACATGTAAATGTCAAGATTCAGCTGTTATCTGCAGTAAAGGATTTGTATGGAGCCTCAGCCTTCTGAAAAGTGGAACATTGAATGACATTAATGTAGAATAATGGATTTTTGGCTAAAAAACATGGATTATAATCTTATTTGATATATTTGGATTATGACTTTGGGCAAGTTCTTACCTTCTGTGAACTTCAGTTAGGCATTTTAAACTAGGTAAAGTATATAAAAAGCCTGTAGCTGACATTCAGCAGATGCTTAGTAAAAGTAATCATATACTTATAAGAAAGAATGGATTTCGGTCTCAAATTTTGGATAATTGAGCAGAAAAAAATAATTCTGTTTTATCTTTTCAGGTTTATAACCAGTTTTTCCTTTCCTCTCCTTGATCCTTGTAGCTCCTGGATCTCCCAGGTATCATTGAAGGTGCCAAAGATGGGAAAGGTAGAGGCCGTCAAGTCATCGCAGGTGAGTGGTTTAAGGCCACCATCCTGGGATATCATTCCCTGGTATTATTCCTTTAGCCAGGGACTATTGGGTTTGAAAATGATACCATGGTGAAGGATATAGTTTCACCTGACTTCTCACCAGAGTGTAATGCCAGAATTTGTAGGAATGTTGGACACTAATAGTCTAGACTCTCTACTAAAGGAGAAATAGAATTGAAGTGCTTTGGTACAGTGTTGCATTGTTGATGGCAGATTCAGAATGGGAGTTCAGGTTTTCATGCCTTTCCTTCTTCTTTTCTTTTTTTGAAAGTAAAATGTTATAAAATGCTAATCATAAATTGCTGCAATCTGCTATCCCATCTCTTCTTACCTGCACTGTTACTTCCTATTGGCAACCACTGTCAGCTCTTCAGCTCTTCCTTCTGCTACCTTCATATTTTTAAAAATTATGCTTATATTGCTGTTTCATGATTACTTTTAGGTATTATCTATTGGTTTCATATTATGGTAGAGAATTAGCTCTCTTATACTCCATACCTCTCTTCCATTCTTTCAAAGAAATTATATTCCAATTTTTTAGTTAACTGACCAGTCATAGTTTTCATTATTATGTATTAATAATGCCTATGTAACTTTTGTTCAGTGCTGAGATAAGTAGTGTACTACAACTGGGTTTCTTTTCTCTTGAAATCTGTTTTTTTTTTTGAGATAGTCTCACTTCTGTTCCCAGGCTAGAGTGCCATGGTGTCAGCCTAACTCACAGCAACGTCAAACTCCTGGGCTCAAGCAATCCTACTGCCTCAGCCTCCCGAGTAGCTGGGACTACAGGCATGTGCCACCATGCCCAGCCGGTGACAATTAATGTCTTTCTATTTTTTAGTAGAGATAGGGGTCTCGCTTTTGCTTAGACTCCTGGTCTCAAGCGATCTGCCCACCTCGGCCTCCCAGAGTGCTAGGATTACAGGTGTGAGCTATTGCACTAGGCCGAAATCTATTTTTTTATGGAGTTAATACTTGATTCCTTTTTTCCTTTTGTTTACTTTTCTGTGTTTTTGTTAATAATTTTCAAATGTTCCAACAGATCAAATGCCTATCAACCAGCTGGGCTTGGTGGCTCACGCCTGTAATCCTAGGACTCTGGGAGGCCGAGGCAGGAGGATCGTTTGAGCGCAGGTGTTTGAGACCAGCCTGAGCAAGAGCAAGACTCCATCTCTACTAAAAAAATAGAAATTATTCTGACTTCATTTCCTCTTAAAGAAAAAAAAAAAAAAAAAAAATAGAAATTAGCTGGACAACTTAAAGTATATATATAAAAAATTAGCCGGGCATGGTAGTGCATACCTGTAGTCCCAGCTACTCGGGGGAGGCTGAGGCAGAAGGATTGCTTGAGTCCAGGAGTTTGAGGTTGCTGTGAGCTAGGCTGACGTCATGGCACTCTAGCCTGGGCAACAGAGCCAGACTCTGTCTCAAAAAAAAAAAAAAAAAATGCCTATCAACCTATATTTTTCTAAATACTTAAATACAGTTCCAATACAATCTTACTGATTTCATTCTCTCCCTACCACCCTGACATACACTCCTATACCTTTTGTCTGTGTTTCACTCTGGATTGGTTGCTTTCTAGACCAGTGCTGTCCAGTAGAACTTTCTGCAACAGTGGAAATGTTCTGAATTGGTACTGTCCCACATAGTAGCTCCTAGCCATGTTTGTGGCTATTGAGCACATAAAATGTGCCTAGTACAATTGAGGAACTGAATTTTAAATTTTATTTAATTTTAATTAATTTAAATTTAAATAGCCGCAGGTGGCTAGAGGAATCTGTATTGGACAACATAGCTTTAGACATTTTGCATGGCTACCATCCTGAGAGATTGTGGTCTACTCTTCTCTTGTGTGGGATCCCCTGTTTTCTAAAGGCAATGTGAACTTTTTGGCAGTTGTTTCCCATGTTTTGCTGAAACACATTCTTTAGTAACTTCCCTAGAGAAGGTGAATGATATAGGTAAAGTTTTCTATGTTTTCATGTTTGAAAGTATTTTTATTCTACTCTTATTCTGAATCATTAATTTAGCTTTTTATAGAATTACAAGTTTGAAGTTATTTTACCTCAGTATTTTGAAGAACACTACTTTCTGGCATCTATTACTGTTGAGTCCAATGCTGTTAGAATTTTTTTTTTTTTTTTTGGTAAGTAACCTGTTTTTTCCCTCACTGGGAGCTCTTAGAATCTACTTCAACAAGTTATGTCTTGGTTTGGATTTTTTTCTTTCTTTTTGTCTTCCTTTTTTAAAGTTAATTTTGCTGGATGTTTGGTGGATTCTTGGATCCTTTTAGTATAATGACTCATATCTTTCATTTATGGGAAATTTTCCTGTTTTATTTTATAGTTTCTTCTTTTATGTGTTCATTCTTTATGGAATATCTATTAATAGGATGCTAAACTTCTGGATTGGATTTATAATTTTCTTAATTTTTAAAAATTATCTTTTTATCTCTTAATTTTTTCTTTGTGAAAATTTCTCAGCTTTATCTTCCAGTCCTACTACTGAATTTATTTCTGCTGTGGTATCATTTTTAAATTCTAAGACTTTGCTTTGTCTTCTGATGGTTTCTTTTTCAGCATTTCGGTCTTATTTTATGGATGCATCATCTATTCTTAGACTCTTAACTGGTCTTATCAAGGACACCTGTGACTTTCCCCTTGTCAAATCTAATGGTCAATTTATTGTCCATATCTTTTTTGGGAGAGTAACACAGATGATCACTCCCTCCTTGAAATATTTGCTTTACGTGCTCTCTGAGATACCAGTGCTCCTTGCTGGTCTCCTTTGCTTGATTTGCCCCATCTTCAAGATTTCTCTGAATATGGATTGCCTGACAGCCTGGTTTTGTGGATTCTTTGCTTCCCTATTTCTGTTTATGCTAAATGAAGGTTTTCTTACCTAGTTCCTTGGCTTTAAATGCCCGGATCTATATTCTAATAATTGTGTAATGTATGGCAATACTTTAGACCAGATGCCAACATACCTTTACTTGGATGTTCAGTTATGTGTCTCAATCTTAACATGTGAAGTTGAATTCCTGATGTTCCATCCCCAACTTGCTCTTCCCTTAGTCTTTTCCATCTTAGTAAAAGGCATATATATCCTTCAAGTCTTTTAGGTCAAAAATCATTTTTTTTGAGACAAAGTCTCACTTTGTTGCCCAGGCTAGAGTGAGTGCCGTGGCGTGAGCCTAGCTCACAGCAACCTCAATCTCCTGGGCTCAAGCAATCCTATTGCCTCAGCCTCCCGAGTAGCTGGGACTACAGGCATGCGCCACCATGCCCGGCTAATTTTTTGTGTATATATATTTTTTTAGTTGGTCAATTAGTTTCTTTCTTTTTTTAGTAGAGATGGGGTCTTGCTCAGGCTGGTTTTGAACTCCTGACCTTGAGCAATCCACCCGCCTCGGCCTCCCAGAGTGCTAGGATTACAGGCGTGAGCTACCACAGCCGGCCTAAAAATCATTTTTTCGCTGTCATCCCCCACATCCAGTACATTATTATATCCTGTTGGTTTTACCTTCAAAATATATCTAGAATCAAGCCACTCCTTTTTTTTTTTGGGTAGAGATAGGATCTTGCTATGTTGCTCAGGGTGGTCTCGAATTCCTGGCCTCAGGCGATCCTGGGCTCAAGTAATCCTCCTGTTTCAGCCTCCCAAAGTTCTGGGATTACAGGCGTGAGCCACAGTGCCTGGCTCCTTTTTTTTTTCTTTTTTGTCCTTAAGTAGAAAATATTGAATTATGAGACTGATGTGCTACCTTCTGCGCTGAAGAAGAAACTACCAAAATGTTGAGTTAATAATACTGCTTCTCAGTTCATGGCACATTTTCATGTCTGTGTAAGGCCCTCTCATTTATTTGTGTATTTATTTTATCTCTATACCCAACTTTCTTTCCTTCCCCCACAGGGAATGACTCTACTATTTTTAATGTCTATTTTGTGTAGATATTCTAACAAAATGTTAATATATTGTTCTGTGTACATATATTTTTAATTTATTTAAATGTTATTGTATCTCATTCTGTTTTTTTCCTGTTTTTCACTAACATGTAACCTGTTGCTTCTAAAAGTTTTCCTGATGCTTGATGGTGTGCAACCACATTTTACTTATCCACTTTTGTAGTTAATGGTCATCCAGTCTGCCACTATTACCACAACTAATGCTGTATATCAACTTCATATTTATCCCCCTGAGGAAGAACTCTGTGAAACTTTCTTTGGCATAGAGACTCATGAGCAGAATTGCTAGGATGCATGGAAATGTAAATTGATGAAGTGCTGTTGGGACGGCTCCAGAATGGCTGCTCTAGTCTACACTCCACTAGCAGCGCGTGAAGGTTCCTGTTTCTTCCAATCTCTGTCAACACTATCCTTCTAAATTTTGCTACTATTATATTACAGGTGGTGGTAGCTCATTGTTTTTATTTGCATTTCTCTTGTGATTAATGGTTTTGAGCATCCATTATAGTTTTCTGGAAAGTTTCATATCCTTTGTACATTTTTTTCTATTGGGATTATTATCTTTCAAGAATTTCTATTAAATTCTAGGTCTATAGTATCTAATATGGTATCCACCAACTACATACGACTAAAATTTAAATTACTTAAAATTAAATTTAAAATTCAGTCCCCTAGTCACATAAGCCACATTTTATATGCTTAGTAGCCCCATGTGACTATTGAATACCACATTGGAAAGCACAGATGCAGAATATTTTCACCATCACAGAAACATCTGTTGCACAGCACTGCTTCCAATATGAATTCCTAGTCAGCTTAGGACATTGCAAATATCTTCTCCCATTAATTTTTTTCACTTTTTTTTTTTTCTTTTTGAGACAGAGTCTTGCTCTGTTGCCCGGGTTAGAGTACCGTGGTGTGTCAGCCTAGTTCACAGCAACCTCAAACTCTTGGGCTCAAGCAATCCTCCTGCCTCAGCCTCTCGAGTAGCTGGGACTACAGGTGTGCACCATCATGCATGGCTAATTTTTTTTTTTCTCTTTTTAGTTACCCAGCTAAGTTTTTTCTGCTTTTAGTAGAGATGGGGTCTTACTCTTGCTCAGGCTGCTCTCAAACTCCTGAACTCAGGTGATCCTCCTGCCTTGGCCTCTCAGAGCGCTAGGATTACAGGCACCTGGCAGAAAGGATTGTCTTTACGAGCCTATATAAAAAATAGTATCCATTTACCTTGATCACTCTCTCTTTACCTAGCTTTTTCATTTTCATGGCTCTAATGACCACTTGACCCGTGTTCATTTTTTTTTTTGAGACAGAGTCTCACTTTGTTGTCCAGGCTAGAGTGAGTGCCGTGGCATCAGCCTAGCTCACAGCAACCTCAAACTCCTGGGCTCAAGCAATCCTACTGCCTCAGCCTCTATATATATTAGTTGGCCAATTAATTTCTTTATAGTAGAGACGGGGTCTCGCTCTTGCTCAGGCTGGTTTTGAACTCCTGACCTCGAGCTATCCGCCCGCCTCGGCCTCCCACAGTGCTAGGATTATAGGCGTGAGCCACTGCGCCTGACCCATTTGTAAATTTATTTATTACTGTCTTGTGTCATAGGAATATAAGGTCTGTGTGAAATGAAACTTTTCAGTTTTATTTACAGTTAGTTGAATCCTCAATAAATATTTGTTGAATGAATAAAGAAATCCCAGTTGTACATTTTTAAAAAAATATTTTCTTTTGCCTTTCTGTATTGTTTCTATTTTCTCTGGTCTCTTTTTATGTTTTGTTTTGGTCTGTCTTTTTCATATTGGAAGCTTTTCTGAGATGTCTGGTGATCCTTGATATTCTGTCCCATTTAAGAATCAAGAGCTAGAGAGTTGTTGGAATGCTCTGTTACTGAATAGGCTTTTTGACTAATGGGTTTAATTATAGATTGATGTGCAGTGAGCCGGTTTTTTTGGGGGAAAGAACCCTGGATGTCCATAACACTATTTTTTTTTTGTTCCTGTGGCTAGTCAGTAACTCCAAAGAAAAATACTTAATTCTTCTGCTTGGAGAGGTGTGCTGGAAGCAGGGAAAGTACAGGTATCTGGAGAATCTTACTTTGTAGAGTACAGATTTTAAGCTTCCTCTTTTTAAGTCCATTACTCCACTATTGTACTTCTCTGGGCGGTATCTAGTGGCCTTTCCCAGTGGCCTTTCTTTCTTGTATCTTGAGTCTCCTGAGGAAAAGATTCAGTTGCCCAGCAGAACCACATCTCCATTTACAACTTTATTTCATAATTCTTTTTTACCTTTAGTAGTATATTTCATGCATTCTCTATTTAGGGTTTCCTGTTTGTTTTCATGTTATCATCAAGGCGTGTGTCAGAATAGGACGAATGTTTAGCCAGTGTATTTCAATTACAGTATTCGTATCAAGAAAAGTTATAAGAGCTCTATTTTTTTTTTTTCGATAAAGGGTTGTCAAAGCATAAGAGTTCTAAATTGGACATATTGAACATAGTTTTTTCCCAAAGTGTTGCTTATACTTCTGTGGCCTTTAGTTTTCTGTAAGCATGAAAGTGAATAATGTAATGCAGAGAATACTAGCATAAATATTTTCAACTCTGCTTTGGGCTGTTGGAAGAAGCCTTTCACTCTGTGAACTTTAAAATTATGATTATGTGTGTTTTCACAGAGTAATGTGAATAGTGCCCTTTTTTCATTCACAGAAGTCTGTTTGGATGATAAATTACATAGTCACTTTATTTATTTATATATTTCACACCACTATACTAATGAGGATTTTTTTCTCCTAATTATTATTTTTTTAATACTTGGATTTTTGCAGTTAGCATTATTTTTTTAATCAGAAAAAGAAATTGCCAGCCTGAGCAAGAGCAAAACCCCGTCTCTACTAAAAATAGAAATAAATTAGCTGGACAACTAAAAATACATATATATAAAAAAATTAGCCGGGCATGGTGGCGCATGCCTATAGTCCCAGCTACTCGGGAGGCTGAGGCAGAAGAATTGCTTGAGCCCAGGAGCTTGAGGTTGCTGTGAATTAGGCAGACGCCACGGCACTCTAGCCCAGGCAATAGAGTGAGACTCTGTTTCAAAAAAAAAAGAAAGAAAGAAATTGATGTTAAAATAAGTATAAAAACTTCCAGAGCCTTTGATTAATTATTGTTCCATAAAGTCTGATTAAATGCCAACCAGATAGAAAATATTTGCTACGTTGGGATAGCAAAGATTTCTTTGATGGGACACTAAAATTATGAACCACAAAAGAAACAATTGATAAATTACATATTATTGGAATTAAAAACTTACTCTTTGAAAGATAGTAAAAATGAAGAAACACGCCACATATTGGGAGAAAACATTAGCAGTATGTATATCTGACAAAGGACTTGTTTCTAGAATATATAAAGAACTCTTATAGCTCAATAACAAGACAAATAACTCAAAAAATGGGCAAGAGTGAACTCAGAAGATATATGAATGGCCAATAAGCACATGAGAAGATGGCTCAACATCGTTAGTCATCAGGAAATACAACCGCAAGGAGATACCATTATACACCCATCAGAATGGCTAAAATGAAAAAAGAATGATGGAAGCCACTGGATATGCTAGCGATAAAAGAAAAAGAAAATGAAAGTAAAATTTAATAAAATATTAAAAAAAATGACACCACTAAGTATTAAGATGTGGAACAGTTGGAACTCACACTGCTGGCGGGAGTGTAAAATTGTACAAATACTTGCAAAACTATTTAGCAGTTTTTAATAACCTGTAACTCCATATGACCCAATAATTCCAGTGGTATTTACCCAGGAGAAGTGAAAATCTTGCCCACAGGAAGATTTTGTTCATGAATGATTATACAGATTTATACATAATACCCCAAACTGAAAACAACCCAGATGTCCTTCAGGAGGTGAATGGCTAAACAAACCATTGTATATCCGTAAAATGTTCAACTGCTTGATTTTTAAAAAGAAACAAATTGCTGAGACACAACATGGTTGAATATCAGAAACATTATGCTAAATTAAAAAATCCAGGCACCAAAGACTACATTTGGTTTGATTCCATTTATATGAAATTCTGAAAAGTACAAACTTCCTATGGTAACAGAAGCAGATCAGTTGTTGGCTGGGAATAGAGGGAAAGATTGAAAAGGGGCACAGAGGAACTTTTGGAGGTCGTATGAATCTTCTGTGTCTTGATTGCTGTGGTGGTTTACGTAGGTATGTGTATTTGTCATCACAGTATATGCTGAACATGGGTACAATTTATTTTTTGTAAATTGTTCCTCAATAAAGTTGATTAGAAATATGGTAACTAAAATCAGGTGAAGAGTCTTACACAAGTATCCTTTTTTTTTTTTTTTGAGACAGTCTTGCTTTGTTGCCCCATGGCGTCAGCCTAGCTCACAGCAACCTCAAACTCCTGGGCTCAAGTAATCCTGCTGCCTCAGCCTCCCAAGTAGCTGGGACTACAAGCATGCACCACCATGCCCGGCTAATTTTTTCTATATATATTAGTTGGCCAATTAATTTTGCTCTTGCTCAGGCTGGTTTCGAACTCCTGACCTTGAGCGATCCTCCCGCCTCGGCCTCCCAGAGTGCTAGGGTTATAGGCATGAGCTACCACGCCTGGCCTGACATTTTCTTTTTAAAATGCCTTGTTTCTAGGTTGGGGAGTGTTCTGTTCTATTAAAAAAAAAAAAAAAAGGAAACAGAGAATAAAGAATAAACAATAAAAAAAGAAAAAAAAAAAGAAAGGTTAAGGTTAAGGGATATTCCAAATAGTCCATTATGTGAATGGACAAATACAGAGTTTCAGAGCCACTGCGCACTGCCTCACACAAGTATCCTAACAAATCCCAGTGCTTTGGAAGACCAAGGCTGAAGGATCAGTTGAGGCCCGGAGTTTGAAATCAGCCCGAACAACACAGTAAGACCCCATCTCTAAAAAATATTTTAAAAATGAGTGGGGGATAGTGTGGTGCATGCCTGTAGTCCTAGCTACTCAGCAGGATTGCTTGAGCTCAGGAGTTGGTGATTACATTGAACTATGACTATACTCCAGCCTGGGCAACAGAGCAAGACCCTATCTCTTAAAAACAAAACAAAACAGAATAAAAAAATAGATAATCTTATTCTTTTAGAATTCTTTTTTCTGTTTAAGATCTTTCTAAGCTCTTGTAGGGATTTAGGTTATTTACTGGTTTGTATTTTTATTCTGACTTGTTTTTTTACTAGTGTTATCTAGAAGATGTGTCAACGCTTGGGCAAATAATGTAATGACTTCAAGGTATACACTGCAAATTGACTTCTGGTGTAAATCTTTGGTAAACTTAAGAGCTTCGTGTGTGTGTATTTACAAAATTCTTCATCTTTTAAGTGTAGGATAAAAAATACCTTTGTGTAATTTTGGTTAGTTAAGGCTTTACTGAACTTTTTTTGTTTGTTTGTTTTGTTTTTTGAGACAGAGTCTCACTTTGTTGCCCAGGCTAGAGTGGCTAGAGTGAGTGCCGTGGCGTCAGCCTAGCTCACAGCAACCTCAAACTCCTGGGCTCAAGTAATCTTGCTGCCTCAGCCTCTCAAGTAGCTGGGACTACAAGCATGCGCCACCATGCCTTATTAGTTGGCCAATTAATTTCTTTTTTAATTTTTTTATAGTAGAGATGGGGTCTTGCTCTTGCTCAGGCTGGTTTCGAACTCCTGACCTTGAGCAATCCTCCTTCCTCAGCCTCCCAGAGTGCTAGGATTACAGGTGTGAGCCACCACACCCGGCCTGAACTTTTTTGGTTATAAATTTTTTTGTTGTTTCTTCAGTGGCCCGAACATGTAACCTGATCCTGATTGTTCTGGATGTCCTGAAACCCTTGGGACACAAGAAAATAATTGAAAATGAGCTAGAGGGCTTTGGCATTCGCTTGAACAGCAAACCCCCCAACATTGGCTTTAAGAAGAAAGACAAGGGAGGCATTAATCTCACGGCCACTGTAAGTGGGGAAGGTGACATGGGACAGGTTGCCGAAGGTACTGGGGTGGGGAATGGATTGAGGTGAATGGACATTGACCTTTTGAAATTGCTCCATTTTCCTGCACTAATTGAGATAACACAATGACGTTGTAATGACTGACAAAGACTTCAAGATTAGGATAGGAGAATCTTGCCTTTGCAGATTCATTTCTTCTTTTGGGTTATCTATTTGCAATTATCTGGGAATACAGATCAATCTTAAGCTTGCGTGGAGTAGGTGGCTACTAGTATCCTGTGTTTTCTTTCTTTTTTTTCCCTTTTATTTCATATTATGGGGGTACAAATATTGTTAGGGTTACATATATTGCTCCTGCCACCCCTCCCTCCTAGTATCCTGTGTTTTCGTTCATTTAGTACACATTAATCGATCACCTACCATGGGCCAAGCATTGTTTTAGGCTCTGGGCCAGAATGGGGGGGAGTGGGGGAATGGAAGAGGGAACAAAGTAGACAAAAGTCCCTGCTCTTATATTGGGTAGAGTAGCAAACAAAATAAATGAGTAAAATATAGTATATTAGACAATGATAAATCTAAGAAGAAAAGTAGGGAGAGGGGATTGTGTTGGTGTGAGAGTTGTAGTTTTAAGTAGGTTGGTCAGGAAAGTCTTCACTGAGATGACAAGAAAGTGTGAACCAAATGGATATCTTGGAGAGGAACATTTCTTTAGAGGGAACATTGAGGTGCAAGAGCCCTGATGTAGAGCATGCCTTTGCATGGTTGAGGAACAGCAGAGTGAATAAGTAGGAAAGTATTAAGAAATGAAGTCACGGCAGTGGGCCATATATGCTTTTACTTTATAGAAGATGGGTAACTATTGGTTGGGTTCTGATCCACAGAGTAAACGTGATTTGATTGGAATCATTCTGGCTGTTGTGTTGATCATAGACTGCAATGGGTTAAGAGCAGAAACAGAGAAATCATTTAAGAGGTTATTGTAATCATCCAGTCAAGAGGTGATGGCTTCTGTGTTGTATGAAGGGAGGGGATAGCAGTCTCCTTGACAAGGATGGAAGAGGCCCTCAGGCCTGACAACACACATACATTCAAGGCATTGCCGCCTACTTGTGGCATCTCACCACTCCCTGACGTTGCCAGTTGACCAGGCCTGGAGTGGTCTGGTGTTTTCCTGTATGAGGTCCAAATAGCTGCAACCTATTTTGGCTTTTTGCTGGGGTCATGTGCCTCTACCCTTAGGTAATAGCAGAAAGGAGAGGAAGATCCCTATTCTTCACTTTCCCCACTTTCCCCCACTAGACCCTTCTGGTACCATATCCTCTTTTGCTCAGTTGTCTTCTCAAAGCAATTTCTACCCCTCTTGTTCCTCAAGAGCTGGAGCCCATGCCCTACCACACACATATCCATGGAAATGCCCAGGATTAGTCTTGGGCCTTTAAACTTCGCATAGTAGCTGCTACTGGCTTTTTTTGGATAATACTCTCACATTCCTGGAGGCTCAGTTTTGCCTCACCTAAAGCACTAGAGACCAAACAAGAACAAGCCCAAGACAATACCTCTTAGGCTTTATTTAATACCATAATGTTTTAAGAATAAAGAGAAATATGAAAAAAAAAAAAAGAAATGATGGCTTTTTAGACTAGGGTTGTAACAGTGGAAGAGATGAGAAGTGGTTGATTATGGAAAGAATTTGAAAGTAGCTGGTAGGAATTACAGCCAGATTTAATATGGGTTGTGAGAGAGAGAGATGACTGTGAGTTTTTTGTCTGAGCTAGAAAAATGAACTCTTATTAATAAAATGGTAGGGCTTTGGGTAGAATAGGTTTGGAGGGGAGGGGAAGATCAGGATGTTAAGTTTGAGATGCCAATTAGACATCTGAGTATATCTGTCAGGATGGCATATGGGAATGATCTGGGCTAGAGATAAAAGTTTGGTGGTAAAAGTTTGACTTTACTGCTATGAGGCTGGCTGAGATCACCAAGGAAGTGAATATATCAATAAATAGAAAAGAAAAGAGGTTCAAGGATATAAGACTTCTCAGACAGAGAGGGAGAAGGAAAACTAAAAGAGTTTAGAATCTTGGAAGCCAAGTAAAGATAGTGTTTCAGAAAGGAGTGACCAGTTCTGTCAAATGCTGCTGCATTGTTAGAGAATTGAGGATTGAAAATTTCTTACTGAATTTAATATTCTAGGGTCCAGTTGATTTGACTGGCATATATTTAAGCTATCTTGCCCGGAAGATCTTTCCCATTATTCTGTCATAATGTTTGAATTTGAGCATTCAGGATTTTTTCTGTATTAGTTTGCTAGGGCTACCATAATAAAGTACCACAGACCAGGTGGCTTAAACAACAGAAATTTTATTTTTCACAACGCTGGAGGCCAGAGTCTGAGATCAAGTTGATAGCAGGGTTGGTTTCTTCTGAGGCTTCTTCCCTCCTTGGCTTGCAGATGTGTCTTCATGTGGTCTTTCCTCTGAGTGTGTGTCCTAATATCCCTTTCTTATAAAGATACCAGTCATATTGGATTAGGGCTCTACCCTAATCACCTCATTCTAATTTAATTACCCCCTGAAAGACCCTATCTCCAAATACAATCACCTTTTAGATTTTATTTCCTACTAGAAGTCAGTGACTCTCATCCAGATGTCTTTAGTAGTGAGTTTGCATCTTAGCTAGAATTATCCAGGTACATGGATAGGTACTTTTCGTGATTTTTGTGTGTGTGTGAGTGTGTGGGTGTGGGTGTGGGCGTGGGCGCTCGCGCGCGCCCTGACTAATTATTATTTGCTATGCTCATTCAGTGCCCTCAGAGTGAGCTGGATGCTGAAACTGTGAAGAGCATTCTGGCTGAATACAAAATTCATAATGCCGACGTGACTCTGCGTAGTGATGCCACAGCTGATGACCTCATTGATGTTGTGGAAGGAAATAGGTACTAAGTGCACAGTCTGTGCCTAATTTTGAATTTGGATCATGAAATCTGGCAGACAGAGATTCTAACTCCATTCATACTACTATCTTAAATAATAGGGGGCCTTTGTTTCTTTAGCTGTAAAATGAGGGATTGTTTTTTATTTCTAACATCCTTTCTTGCTTTGAAATTTGATTATGATAGCCAAGTTCCCCATTTCAGTTACTTGCTCTGAACTAGGCTGTGCCCTAAGCTCTTTTATGTGATAGTCAAAGAGAGTAGGTCAATCTGCCCTCCCAGAATTAATCAATCTGAGAAATCTTATAGGCCGCCTATAGAAGTCAGAGCAGATCAGGGTGTGTCTGTTTTCTCCAACCTCAGCTAAATGCCTAGTCCAGTGAAACATTACTGTTATTAATAATAATTTAAACCATTGTTAAAATTATTCCTAGCATTTGGATATTATATTTTTTAGTTGCTTTCCTGTTCATTTGTTCCTGTTTGTTGGATATATTTATTTGATCCTCATTTGTGGGCAAACAAAAGCTAATGAATGCTTTGAGTTAGGCATTTTACAAGTGAGGCAACTAAAGCCTGGAAGTTGTGGTTTGGCCTAATTATTAGTAACTTTAGCTGCCATATTTATTGGACACTAGGAATGACATTGCTAGATGCTATGTTTAAAAAGTGTATTTTGGCTGGGCACAGTGGCTCCTGCCTGTAATTACACTCTGGGAGGCCGAGGCAGGAGGATCGCTTGAGGTCAGCAGTTCGATACCAGCCTGAGCAAGAGTGATACCCCGTCTCTACTAAAAATAGAAAAATTAGCTGGGCGTGGTGGCGCCTGCCTGTAATCCCAGCTTCTTAGGAGGCTGAGTCAGAACTACTTGAGCCCAGGAGTTTGAGGTTGCTGTGAGCTAGGCTGATGCCACAGCACTCTAACCCAGATGACACAGTGAGACTCTATCTCAAAAATAAATAAATAAATAAATAAAGTATTTTTAGGCCAGGCACAGTGGCTCACACCAGTAATCCTAGCATTTTGGGAAGCTGAGACAGGAGGATTGCTTGAGGTCAAGAGTTTCAGACTAGTTTGAGCAAGAGTGAGACCCTGTCTACAAAAAATAGAAAAATTACCTAGGGGTGCTAGCATGCACTTGTAGTCCCAGCTACTTAGGAGGTCTGAGGCAGGAGGAGTGCTTGAGCCCAAAGTTTGAGGTTGCTATGAGCTATGATGACACCACTGCATTCTGGCCCGGGTGACAGAGCAAGAGACTGTCTCAAAAAATTTTTTATTTTTTTAGTCTTTAAAAATTATTATGAAATATATTATTAGAAATTCTTAAAACAGTTTATATTCTTAAATTAACTCTGAGAAAGATTAAGTGACTTGCCTAGGGACACATACTGTCAGCCCTCCGTATCTGCTTGGGATTGGTTCCAGAAGCCCCTGCAGATAAGACAATCTTTGGATACTCAAGTCCCTTATATAAAATGGTGTAATACAGTTGTTCCATATCTATGAATTTTGATCTGCAATTGGTTGAATCCATGGATGCCAAACCTGCGTATATGGAGGGCCAATTGTATATAGAAGATGACAGAACTGGGATTAGAATCAGTCTGGGCACTTCAAAGCTTGTATTCCTTCCACTGTAGTATGCTTTCCCGGTAAGGAGCTTTATAGCTGGGAGTAGGGCCTAAATTTTGTTACTTTTCAACCCATAGTTCACTTTTTGGACTTTCTACTTATTTTGGTAGTAAGCTTTTTTTTTGAGAAGGAGAAGCTGATCTGCTCTTTTGAGAGCCTCTGATTTGGGTCTGGGTAAGGGCAGTGCTGGTAATCAATCAGACACTTTTGTCAGCAACTGCAGACTAATACCCTTTATTTCTTCTACATTTGTAGAGTCTATATTCCCTGTATCTATGTGTTAAATAAGATTGACCAGATCTCCATTGAGGAATTGGATATTATCTATAAGGTGCCTCACTGCGTACCTATCTCAGCCCATCACCGCTGGAATTTTGATGATTTGTTGGAAAAGATCTGGGACTATCTGAAACTAGTGAGAATGTAAGTCTTTGTGGATAGGGTAATGTTGTTGTAGAAATTAAACCAGACTGTCCAAAAATCATAACCTCTGAAGCCCATTAATAAAATCTGGCTCTTTTGAAGATAATTAGTAAATTGGTTCCTGCTGTCTACTAGGTCATATTGAAGGCACTTTCTTCCTCAGGTTGGAGGTTATCCTGGTCTGATCTCAGGGGTGGTGGAGGGTTGGTTTGTATACAGCACATCAGTTAGTCTAAGAAGGTGACTACTTCTGTGCCCTCTCTGTTCTAGTTACACCAAACCCAAAGGCCAGTTACCAGATTATACATCTCCAGTGGTGCTGCCTTACTCCAGAACCACAGTGGAGGATTTCTGCATGAAGATCCACAAAAATCTTATCAAAGAATTTAAATAGTAAGTATCATGGGCATATGGTGCTTTCTTTTTCTTGTAAGTTACTGATTTCACTAATTCTTAGGATAGCATTAAAGAATCCAGGCAGCAGGGAGGCTGCTGAAATGCTTGCTTGGTTAGAACTCTGCAATGTCTTCTTAAAAGCGTGCCGAGTTGGAGCAGGAAGAGGTCCAAGAACCTCTTCGGGTCAGGTGGGCTGATGGTACAAATGACCCTGATTTTCCCTCATTAATTCATCCTCCTCTTGGCAATAAGGATATTAATTCTTTCTGCCAATGTCATATTGGCCTCCACTGGGATCTATGAATCCCCCTCTAAACCTTAAGTATGGGCAAATCCCCACTTATCTCTTTCTCATACACTTCACTGCTGATACAGGTTGAAAATTTTTAATGTTTCATTTTGAACTAAATTTTTAAAAAATATTTTTTATTTTTTAGAGCTGGGATCTTGCTGTGTTGCCCAGGCTGGATTCCTGGGCTCAAGTGATCCTCCCTTCTCAGCCTGTCAAGTAGCTGGAACTACAGGTGTAGCTGGAACTACAGGCGCTTGCCACCATGCCTGGCTCTATTTTGAACTAATTTTAGACTTAAAAAGTTGCAGATATAGTAAAAACCATTCCCTTTTATCCCTCAACACCACTTTTAAATTAGCAGCTCACGTTACTATAGTACAATTATCAGGAATAGGACATTGGCATTGGTGCAATATTATTAACTAAACTATAGACCTTATTTGAATTTTACTACTTTTTCTACCAGTGTCATTTTTCTGTTCCAAGAACCTATATGACATCTAGTTGTTATTTGTCTGCAGTCTTCTAGTGTTCTAGTCTGCCAGTAACGTTTCCTTAGATTTTCACTGTTGTTGATGAGCTTAACACTTGAAGAATGCTCAACAGTTATTTTGTCACATATTCCTCACATTGAGTTTATCTGATATTCTCCCATAATTGAAGTGAGATTATGGATTTTTGGTAATCCCACAAAAATGATGATGTGTCCTTAGTGCATCATATTATGGGATTCATGATGTCAATATATCTTACTGATATTTATCTTGATCACTTGGTTAAATTGGTATAGGCTGGGTTTCTCCACTGTAGATAGTATTTTTCTCTTTATATTTGATAAATATCTTGGGGGAGATATTTTGAGAGTATGCAAATAATGTTTCTCTTCAAATTTTTATCTGTTGATTTTAGCATCTGTTGGTGAAGCTTGTCTGTGACATTATGGTGGTGTTATTTTGTTACTCAAATTATTCCAGCTTTGGCCATTAGGAATTCTTTCATGTTGGCTGCTGTGTTCTTTTTTTTTTGAGACAGAGTCTCACTCTGTTGCCTGGGCTAGAGTGCTGTGGCATCAGCCTAGCTCACAGCAACCTCAGACTCCTGGGCTCAAGCGATCCTCATGCCTCAGCCTCCTGAGTAGCTGGGACTACAGGCATGTGCCACCATGCCCGGCTATTTTTTCTATATATTTTTAGTTGGCCAATTAATTTCTTTCTATTTATATTAGAGACGTAGTCTTGCTGTTGCTCAGGCTGGTTTCAAACTCCTGACCTTGAGCAATCCTCCCGCCTCGGTCTCCCAGAGTGCTAGGATTACAGGCATGAGCCACCGTGCCCAGCCTGCTGTGTTCTTTTGATCTTTTTTTTTTTTTTTTTTTTTTTGAGCATTTCCTTACTTTTTGGCACTGCTTAGATGTGCCTGGTTGACATTGATTTTGCCTAGACCAGCCCCGGAATCAGTCACTTCTTCAGGGATCCTTGGTTTTCAAGATCTGGGTACTAGTTTGTTCATTTTTTAGTAGGTTATCATTGCTTGTAGGCCCTCTCAGCAGATAGATAGAAAATATATATATGGATACCATATATTTCTGTATCTAATCCTTCCTATGTATTTATCCATCCATCTTTCTTAAAAACCAAGAGATTATACTGTTACCTCTAATTCCAGTTCAATACCATGGGGTTTATTTTAGCTTTCCCTCCTATTTTTAACTTTTCTCCAACAATGAGAAACCTTTATGTTATTATCTGTTATCTATTTACTTATTTTTAAAATTCTAGTGGTTCACAATTTCAGCCTGTAATCCTGTGAGAAATAGTTTGACTGGATTACAGTATTTATGAATAGCTCTTTTCATATTTATAGGCTGAAAATTTCAAAATTATTTTAAAAACAAAGGAAGAAAATAGAAAATGATTGTAGAAAATTAAGAAAGCATAGAAGTAGTGATGTTTTCAAAATACTTGTTTCTGATACTAAGAATACTAAGAGAGTGAAGTGGGTTTTTTTGTTTGTCTTTTTTAATGTATAAGAGAGAAGGTCTCACTCTATCAGCCAAGCTAGAGTGCAGTGATGTGATCATAGCTCACTACAGCCTCAAACTCTTGGGCTCAAGCAGTCCTCCTGTCTCAGCCTCTGGAGTAGCTGGGACTACAGGAATATGCTACCACACCTGGCTAAGTTTTTTTGCTTTTTATAGACAAGGTCTTGCTGTGTTTCCCAGGCTGGTCTAGAACTCCTGGCCTTAAGCAGTCCTCCCACCTTAGCCTCCCAGTGTGCTGGGATTATAGGCATGACCCACTGTACCTGGCCTGAAGTACTTCATTGATCTTCACGTTCCTTTATCTAAAACAACTATATTCCATGTATAGGTGCTAATTTCCACTACATTCAAAAGCATTCTACTTTGGTGAAGATGACTCTTGTAAAAAGTTAGGCATTGTCCTTCTGCAAAATTCATAGATTTTTATATGACTCCTTTATGTGGCAGAACACTGTGCAGAGTCTCTAGAACTGTAAGTTTACCAGGGAATTAAAGCAGAAGGGACAAAAATATTTTAGAGCAAAGACATGTCAGGCCAAATATAATTTTATTTGGTCACTATTTTCCTATTTTTTTTTTTTGAGACTGAGTCTTGCTTTGTTGCCCAGGCTAGAGTGAGTACAGTGGAATCAGCCTAGCTCACAGCAACCTCAAACTCCTGGGATCAAGCAATCCTGCTGCCTCAGCCTCCCAAGTAGCTGGGATTACAGACATGTGCCACTATGCCTGGCTAATTTTTTCTATATATATTAGTTGGCCAATTAATTTCTTTCTATTTATAGTAGAGACGGGGTCTTGCTCTTGCTCAGGCTGATTTCGAACTCCTGACCTTGAGCAATCCTCCCTCCTCAGCCTCCCGGAGTGCTAGGATTACAGGCGTGAGCCACCGTGCCCGGCCCCCTATTTTGTTGTCTTTCTCTTTAATTATTGCAGAAATAGCTTTTTTTTTTTTTGAGACATAATCTTGCCCTGTTGCCTGGCCCAGAGTGCAGTCGTGTCATCGTAGCTCCCTGCAACCTCAAACTCCTTGGCTCAAGTGATCCTCCTGCCTCAGCCTCCTGAGTAGCTGGGACTATAAGTGTGTGCCACTTCACCCAGCTAATTTTTCTATTTTTAGTAGAAATGGGATCTTGTTCTCACTCAGGCTGGTCTGGAACTCCTGAGCTCAAGTGGTCCTCCCACCTCAGACTCCCAGAGTACTAGGATTATAGGCGTGAGCCACTGTGGCTGGCTAGAAATAGCATTTTTAGGTTTGTTTTTTTTTTTTTTTTGAGACGGAGTCTTGCTTCGTTGCCCAGGCTAGAGTGCTGTTGAGTCAGCCTAGCTCATAGCAACCTCAAACTCCTAGGCTTAAGCAATCCTTCTGTCTCAGCCTCCTGAGTAGCTGGGACTACAGGCATGCGCCACCATGCCCGGCTAATTTTTTCTATATATTTTTAGTTGGCCAATTAATTTCTTTCTATTTTTAGTAGAGACGGGGTCTCGCTCTTGCTCAGGCTGGTTTCAAACTCCTGACCTTGAGCGATCCGCCCGCCTCGGCCTCCCAGAGTGCTAGGATCACAGGCGTGAGCCACTGTGTCTGGCCAGAAACAGGTATTTAACAGTCTGTAACTGACTTTGCATCTCTAAGAATCAGTCATCAATCTGAATTTTTCAGGGTATTTCTTTGTAACAAATCCATGCTCTCTTTTAATTTTAAACTAGTCTCCTTATGCTACTCATTTGTGTCTTTTTATCTTTCTTAAACTGGCTCTAACAAGAACCACACAGCTTCCAAAAGTCTTTGCCACCTTGTAAAGGCTTTAGTGTGGCATGTTGCTGATGAAGATAAACCTCTGGGCTTTCTGGTTCTTGATGTGGGAGAGGGGGTTTTGGCTATTGCAGGTCTGTGGCTTTTAAGAGCTGTGATGCTAAATCTGAATGTAAGGGTGCCCAGGCAAATAAGTCAGAAGCTAGATTATTTTTTATACTGACTGTTCTTTTTTCCCTTCTATACAGCGCTCTGGTCTGGGGTCTTTCTGTGAAACACAATCCTCAGAAAGTGGGTAAAGACCATACGTTGGAGGACGAGGATGTCATTCAGATTGTGAAGAAGTGAAACCTCCCCCTTTCCCCATCTGCTGGGCCAACCATAGCAGCTTTCCCCATGACCAAGCACCCTACCCTCAACTCCTTCTGGCTTTGGCAGCCACTGGATCAGGATTCCGGGGAGGGAATTGGAGGCACCCAAACTGGAACTTCACTTGTCTTACCTTGGTGTCACCTTGTATGTTGAACTGCATAAAAGACCTGGTAGGCTGGTCAGCTACGTGCATGCAGTTCATGTGTCATTGTCAGAATTTGTTTTGGGATGGGCTGAATGTGTCAAGGTGTGTACAGTGATGCAGCTGCAGAAGGGATACTTGGGAGCTTGGTCTTGAGTGTGAAATGGATAAAATGTGATATATAATATTTTATTTGATATTTAGTTATGGGAAACTCTTTCAACTGGATGTGGCCATCAGTCCTTTCAAATAGTCTTTCCCACGTGATACTGAAGAGAGGAAGGACTTGATTATTCTGTGCAAGGCTAGACCATTTGGGAGATGGTGTAGGGTGGCACTTCAGGACTCTGACCAGGCAGATGGGGTTTGAATTGCAGTTCAACCTTTATTTAATTAGCTTTGGAACCCTAAACAAAATTACCCAGCCTCTGTGAACTTCAGTTTCCTCATGTAATAATGGAGATAGTAATAGCACTTACTTTCTGAGGTGGTGATCGTTAGTATGAAGGGAGATGGTACTTGTGAATTTCTTAGCGCAGTATCTGGCATATTAAGTAGTCAGAGTGAATAATGGTTTTTTTCCCCCAGGCCCTGTCCTTTAGTGGGTTCCCTGTCTGCCTTAGGCAGAGCACAGCTGTGTATTATCAGTGTTGGGCTGAAAATTGAGCTGAAACATGCTGCCAGCTGGGCCACTAAGAGCCTCCTTTCCTGTAGCCCAGTCTTTCTGCTTGAACACCTATGGTAGTCCTGGCCTCAACCATGCCTTTGGGCAAAGGCATGAAGGCAGAATATTGCGTGTGAGGCAACTAATGTGATCTGAACAGGTTTGTGTGTGTACATACGTGTATGTATGGAGGTGTAGGAGGTTAGGTTAGGGTTGGTGTCAGGACTACTTGAGAGGATACTAAGGACATAATTAGAAGTTTTGGGGGCTGGAAAATAGGGGACTTTAAGGAAATTGGTCTCATGTGAAATTGAATGGCAAAATTTTGATTTGGTGGGCTAGTGAGAATATAGGCAGAGGGAGGGTGTGGGCACATATGTACACACATCTAAACTTGGTAACTGATTGACTTGCTCTTTGGAAGAAGCCAAAGTTTATTTCAGTATGAACTGCAGAGATGATAGAGTAGGGGTCATCCCTGAGAAAATCAGTAAGGGATTACATGTTTGCAGGAAGTCAGAATTTGATTGTCTTCAAATCAGGCAAGCTACAGCTTTTAGCAGGTTGTGAGGGATGGGGATGTGAGATTATTCACATATTCAGTCTTGGTCCAGTGCTTGTTTCTCCTGCTGCCCTAGTGACAAATGTTTCCCTTTGATAGTCTTCCTGGAGTTTGGGCTTAGCACTGTCCCCAGACCCAAGAGATAAGTCCCTCGGGCCTGATATCCTAGTTACTTTTCACCTTGATATCAGTGGTGTATTCATGGTAGAGGACATGATCTAGAGAGCCTGTCCCCTCTGCAGGGTAACATTGCCTTTCTGAGCTATAGGATTTCCAGCATGGTTTGCTCTCCAGCCAGAACATAGTGGGTTTTGGGGAATTCTTCATGCCCAAATTCCCTTTCATCAAGCAAGCATTTAGCATTGGCACTATGGTGGGGAAGAGTTGCTGAAATCCAGTCATTCAAGGCCTCAGGAAATGCTATGAATAGGCCTTCGGTCCATCATTCAGCACTCTCCCTTCCACTTGATCCGTGGCCCCTTAATCCATGAGGAGAATATTACCCTACTTTCCCTTCTTTATCCTTTGGACTTGGCAGTTTTGAGAGAGGGGTACAGTTTGGTGTTAGGAATGCTGCCTGGGGTAGACAGCTGTGGAGGTGCATTCTTACAGGCTGTCACAGCATGACTTGAATTTCCTGTGCCATTTACATACTCCATGTTTTCTTTCCTGACCTTAGTACAACTAAGCAGGCCCACTGTTTTGTGCCATTAACCAGTTAGAATGCTTTTAGCTGCATTTAACAGAAACCACTAATTTAACCAGCTAAAATGGATGGAAACTTGGTTTCTTACAGAAGTTGTCTGGAGTTTAAATGGGTTCATGGCAGCTATTGTGTCATTGGGGGGTCCAGGGTTTTTTCCATCAAACTAATCTATTGGCAGTTGGATCCCCTCACAAGTCACACAGTGTCTGCTGCAGTCCCAGGCTGTGTCAGCATCCAGAAGGTAATGAAGAGGGCTGAATCATTTTGGAAAGCCAGTTCCCGGAAACCACGTAGCCTGTTTGTTATTGTTTCTCATGGCCTCAATGGAATCACATGTCCATTCTTGAATCAGTTGTTGGTAAAGAGAATAGAATTATTGAAGAACCAGAGTTTAACCCTGTAAATTAGTTTCATTCTTAGATTATGTTTGTACTTCTCTTTCACAAAGAAAGGGCCAGTGGACCTGACTTCCCTTCTCTCTTAATATAGCCTGCTAAGAGAGTCAATAGCTATCTCCTAAAAGAAGGCCTGGCTGCACTTTTCCATTCATTTTATTCCCACTTTTTCTCACTATGTTGCTTAGGCTGGTCTGGTACTCCTGGCCTCAAGTGATCCTCCAAAGTGCTAGGATTACAGGCATGAGCCCCACTGGACCTGGACAGCATCAGAATCTTGAAGGAGGGTCTATATGGAAAAATTAGACTTTAATGGATTAAATCAGAACTCTGGGCGAGATAATCAGGATACCCCAGTAAACATGATTTGTTTGGGAGAAACTACTAGTGTATTACATGATTTCCCAATAAATAAACTGTTTTCACTAGATGGGTTCAATCTTGGAAATTAAGCTATAGATATCCTGGTATTAGCCATAAGGCTACCTATAGGATCAGCCCAGCCAAAACTGATCCACTGGGGTCTTTAAGGCTCAAGGAAGAAGGCCATATCTTCATCCTCCTAAATCAAGACAGAGTTAAATTCTATGGGTTTTAAAATTAAAACTTCTGATCAGTTCCCTCAAGGAAAACATTGAACCTCATAGCACAGCTGGTTAGAAATGAGGAATGGATTCAGGGAGGAAATAAACAACAATGCCTTATCATTTCATCCACACACTTAACATATGCCGCTTTAATCAACCAAAAGAAAAAAGTCCCAAATGTACAAGTGAAAAAAATCCAAACTGTTGACACAGGCTTAACTAATATCAGCTACTTTTATGTACAGCTGTATAAGTTCAAAAAAGCTATCCTATATGTATATACAAAAGTTGTTTATACACAGGTCTGTACATAAGGGTCTATACATTTATTCCTCAGAACCCTTAGGTGCCACCTCTTAGTGAGGACACCAACACTTCATTCACATATCTTACAAAAAAGAAAGACTGTTTCCAGGATTGACAACACTATGCATCCTGTATTCAGACAATAGGCTCCACTCGATTGGTTAAGATCCTTCCATCATAATGTAGACCACACCAGGTGCACGAGCTCCCTGAACAGAGTGCTTCGCACAAAGTGCTCCAAAGTAAAAAGCCAGTAAACCAACACGAGATGGGGAAGCAGAGTCCTGCCACCATAGGTCCAGGTTTAGGTGAGCCTGCATGCCCTGCTCACTGTCGGTATTCCAATTCATCCACACTGATGACTTTGGCGGGCATGGATGGCAGGGGCTGCTGTAGCACATCCGAGCCAAACCATTTGGCGAGGCCCACGGGGGAGCTGCTCCTCTGGCTGGGGCGATGCTCCAGCTGGGAGTGCATGTGAGGCAAGCCTGAGCGGCTGGGCATGTTCTGAGGCGTCGTCTGAACACTGACAGCTGCTGCCTGGGAACCAGAGCCTGGAGGATGCAGAACTGTGGAGATAAGCAGGGTTATCCTCCACAGCATGAGGGGGAAGGTAATTCTTTATTAGGCCCTATCCAAATAGAAGTCTTTATCAAACCCTATCCAAATAGAAGTCTTTACCAGAGGATTTATTCTAGGGCTTCTTTAGAAAACTGCCTTGAAGAATGTCAGAAGAGAGCACCTTGAAAAGCTGAGCTATACAGAAGCCATCAATATTGAAAACCCACCCTGGATGACATGACCACTACCTTCCCATGGCAAGTAACTGCATCACAGCATCACTAATGTGGGCTGGTGAGAGGGCATCTACCCTGTGTTGGGAGGATTCTCAGCCTTCTCTCCTAATAGGACAAGGAAAGCCAGAGCACACTTAGCTCTCCCACTGTCTTTGCAGGAACTGCAATCCTAAATTCCACAGAGGTCAGTTTACTTTATCCTATTCTCTGGTTAACCCTTGCCCTAATCTTGCTAGGACAAGTTAAACAATGAAGTGTCAGTATCAATTCATCTTTACCAGAAACTGGTCCTAAAAAGCTTCAAGATGACTGAAACCCATCCCACACTCACCTGGCCCATTCCTGAACTTACCTGAGCGCTGTAGCTGCTGTTGCATCATTGCCAGATGCAGTGGTGTCCCAGGTCGAGGGTTTAAGAGAGGGTGACTAGCAGCAGGTAAAGGGTAAAAGGGCTGACCCAGGATTGGGCCGGATATTCCTTGTAAATGAGTCAGGTCCATCCCAGGAGGAAGCACACCTGTTGAGCAAAAAACCCAAACTACTGAGTAGTCATCTTAATGTTATGTGGAAATTTTCAAGCTTGGATGTACAGTTGCTGATCTGGAAGTTTATTAAGAATGAAGAGTGTTCAGAAACAAGATCTACAGGAAAAAAAAAAAAAAAAAGAATGAAGAGTGCTTAAGCTAGGTTCCTAATCTTTTAATGGACTAAGGGATGGACTGGATTGGACCCACTGCTCATCAGTTAGATGGAAGAATCTAGTAACATCTTTCTGGGGATACTGCCCCCGCCCCAACACACACACACACACACACACAGGATAGCAATTCATCAGTGCCAGCAACTGTTGTCATGCCAGCTCCACGGACCCACACCCAAAACTGATCATAAACTCACCAGCTTGGAGCAAACTTGGAAGATGTTGTGGATGTACCCCTTGGGCCAGCATCCTTTGCACCAACCCTGGGTGAAGCTGGTGAGCAGGCCGAACGATAGGGACATGGGGGACGAGAGGAACTTGGTGGACAGGGCGGAGAAAAGGTGTTCCTGGAACTGGGGATGCCAAGGTGGGTGTTTTTCTCCCAGTTGCTTTAGGTCGATAATCTTGTTCTTTGGTGTAACGGTTGGTCTGGGACAGTGGGGTGGAACATGAAGACCGTTGTAAGGTTGACAGTTTGGTATTTGTAGTGGGAGAAGAGTCTCGATCGACACTGGATACAGAGTTGGATGACAGGAGTTTTTCTGTAAGGATTCAGACAAAAAGAAAATTTTGGCAAACCTCTCCCAAACACTTTGTCCTCCTAATGGTCAAGTTCGTTTCTTAAGAAGCTCACGATATTATTTGATCTCTTTAACAAGTTTAGAAGACTGCATGGTAGGGACCATCATTTGCTTTATAAATAGGACCAGAAGATGAACTGCTGGGCACTCTGCTCTACCCAAATAGCTGTGGCCTGGATCTGTATGGCAGCTAGTCCCAGCCTAGTCAGATGTTTGTGATTAACATACTTTTTAGCCTAAGGGGGGGAATGAAACTATAAAATTATGCAAATCCATCACAACAGAAAATTTAAACAGCAGTTACATTCTGGTCAAAGACTCTGAACTGTCCAATAGGACTTTCTTCATACCCTCCCACCCCCAGCTTTCTCAAGCACAGAGAAAAAGCTCTCAGACCAATACTCTATACCTGTATTATTAGAATCTGTGTGTCACCGTGTCCTTCACAAACCCTACTGTGTAACTCCTAAAAGCCTCTCACGTGGTTTCTGGACCAGTCTCCATGGACAGGAGAGAACCTTTCAGAAGTAAAACTGGCTGAACTAAAGTTGCCAAATCACTAATTATTCAACATTGAAGCACTCTCAGATTGGTCAGAATTTAAACAGCTAAGTGAATGCAAGCTGGTCCGACCCTTCTCACTGTCACAGAACTGCAGCCCAGAGAAACGCAGGGTGTTGCCCAGGACTGTGTAGAGAATCACGGTCAGGCTGGTCAGCAGTCAGGCCCATGTTCTCTCTGTCACATGCTTTCTTTTTTTTTTTTTTTTTTGAGACAGAGTCTCGCTTTGTTGTCCAGGCTAGAGTGAGTGTGGTGTCAGCCTAGCTCACAGCAACCTCAAACTCCTGGGCTCGAGCGATCCTTCTGCCTCAGCCTCCCGAGTAGCTGGGACTACAGGCATGAGCCACCATGCCCGGCTAATTTTTTTTATATATATATCAGTTGGCCAATTAATTTCTTTCTATTTATAGTAGAGACGGGGTCTCGCTCTTGCTCAGGCTGGTTTTGAACTCCTGACCTTGAGCAATCCGCCCGCCTCGGCCTCCCAAGAGCTAGGATTACAGGCGTGAGCCACCGCGCCCGGCTGTCACATGCTTTCTTGAGCAGTACCCTCAGCAGCTCTGCAGTACCTTCGCTGGCCTTTTGAGTGTCCTCTTTACTATCACCAAGAGCTGTTTTTCCAGATACTGGCTCCTCCTTGCTTTTCTCTTTGCTCTCGTACATCTTACGAATCACTGAAGTAGGGGTAAAGGAAGGAGACAGCTGTGGAGAAAAACAATTGGCATTATTAGCACATTCTCTAAGTACCTTTTCCTAATAAGAAGCCAGGATTAACTGGCAAAGCTACTCAACAAAGTGAAGAGTCCCCATATTGCCTATATGGTAGCAAAGTCCAACTCTCAATGGTGTGGTCTGTAGCTGCTGGAAGAAAAAATGGAGCAAATGGGCAGTGTCCCAAATGCATCATCCCTTGCTCCCAACACTGACGATGGGGACCTGCCTACGTAGCCTCTGCTTCACACATTTCCTCAGCTGGGATTAGGCTGGGAAGGGAAGAACATGGCCAGAAATATACCTTGGCACAACAGCCCCTCCTTCTGGGAAAAGACATTTCAGAGACAACCTCAGAACCTAAATTAATCCATACTTGTAATATTTCCCTTAATGTGGCTACCAGAAATGTCACAATTATCTCAATAGTCTCCTTAGCCATTAGGATTCATCACTTGGAACCACTTGTTCCCATCTCTTCACTGTCTTTCTCTTTTGATGATTTTATCATGCATGCACCTTTTCTCATTAAACCACCCCACATCCTTGATGGCAGATGACAGGTCATGGGCTCATGAACTGAAAAGCTACCAAGGTACTGGTACAAAGACCCACTTGGCATCCTGAAGCACATAGCAAGTCCCCCACCCCTCCCCCGCGGTTTATCAGCTTTGAAGATGGTAAAGGTCTGTGGGGAATATATTTTTAAAAACATTTTTTAGATAATACTAGTCAGTTGTAAAACTAGCCTTGCCACTGCATATAAGCAAACCCTTTTGTTGTTTCAAGCCTTAGTTCATATCACTGAGACCCAAATCAGCAAATCTGAATCTGTGAACTCCCCAGCATGTTTCACTGAGCTCCCACGATCCCACCCTGACCCCTGTTCACCGCTGTCCACCTCACCTCTGGCTCTCACCCTTGTCTTCCTGCTTCCTCACACCAGCTGTTCATTTGTTTGAACATACTGTATCTCTGTGTGTCCTGGCCCATGCTTATTTATCTGCCGGGATACACTTTCCCCAATTCAGGGGCTTCACTAGAATTCTAAGAGTTACACTGTGACCTAAAAGGGGACAATCTAATTAAATAGGTATGAAAGACTACTAGATCAGTTATTCCTGTGGAAAGCACTCAAAGACATTTAGGGGCACAAAGGGTACAAACGTACAACCAAACAGGGAGAAGCCTTAAGTCATTCATAGTCACTAAAGGTCACTGACCATGCTTGTGATGGAGGCAGCAGGGGCTGGGGAAGAGGAATTCCCTCGGTGCACAGGTGCTGGTGACTTGGTCACTCGTTGTTGCCTATGAATAAACCAGTTATCAATGTGAGCCCCAATCTGTTCAAACCCCAAATCCTAAAACCATATAATGCTCAAGACCAACTAGGAATTTAACATCCCCTTTCCCTTATCTAATTCAGTTTCCCAAGCACTTAGTAAGTACCAAACATACACAAAAGTACACAGTAAGTTCTGAGGGAAGACAAAAGCTTAATACAACATGGCCCTGACCTTGCAAGAGCTGTCAATCCCATGTGGGAGACAAAAAACTAGGGCAGAGCAAAGCATGTAGATAAGGCACAATGGGAAAACGGAGCTGAAAGAGTGCCTGATAGGACACTCTAGGGACTGGGGAATCTTCTTTGGGAAGAAGATGCATTAAACTGAGTGCAACCAACAAGAAGCTGAAGATGGAGAACAATGGTTCAGGTAGAGGGAACAGGTACAGGGGGGCTTGGGAAGACCTTGGGAATAGAAGGGTTATCCAGGGCTGGTATATGGTTTATTTGTAGATCACAAGTGAGGTAAGCTAGGGAGGGTATTCATTCTGTGGGCTGCCTATGCTCCAGAGGGCAGGGAGCAACACTAATTTGCATAGTACATAGCACAGAACTGATGCTGGTTCGAATCACACAGGGAATCAAGAGTTTTAGCTACTTTAGGACCCAATTATATGCAGCATTCCCTATTCCTCCTGGTCTACACATGAGATTGATCTCAGGGCCTCCCAAATAAAGGAAAAAGAACAGACTTCTCTCCCTAGCCATTCTACTTATTCTCCCTTAACTTGGGAAGAAAATGGAGAAACAGTTGATGTTGGTATAAACATTAACAGGCTGAGAGGAGAATTATGTAAGCTCACCAGCTACTGAAAGTTTCCCTGCATTTCAGCCATGTTAAACTTTGTGCCACAAAGGTCAAAGGCCAAGTATTTTCAGCGATTCTGGAGGTTCTCTGAATCATAGGTAGACAGGAAGCCTAAATCCATGGCTCCTTACCAGTTAGTAACCCATTGCTTCCACACTGTGGCACTGAATATGACAGTGTGGGCAGACAGAGATAAGTGAATGTATTCTGAGTGCTATAACAGGATGCACTTATATAAGGGGTACCTACCTCCTTGTCTCAATGTCTTCATGAAGGTTTTTTTCTTTCTTTTTTTATTAGAGACAAGGTCTCGCTATGTTGCCCAGGCTGGTCTCAAACTCCTGGGCTCAAGCAAGTCCTACACCTCAGCCTCCCAAACAGCTGGGACCACAGGCACACACCACCATGCCCAGCTAATTTTTCTATTTTTGGTGGAGACGGAGTCTCGTCATGTTGCTTAGGCTGGTCTTGAACTCCTGCCCTCAAGTGATCCTTCCTCCTTGGCATCCCAAAGTACTAGGTTTATAGGCATAAGCCACCACGTCATAAATGCTGCTTAATTACCAAGTATTTTATAGGCAAGACTAAGCTGTAGTGTTCAGGGATGTGCATTTTGGTGATGCAACTAAAAAAATTAAGCTAGATTACTTCCAAAGGCTGGACAGTAGTCGCTTCTGAGGGAGGAGCACTTACTGGCATACGGCACACAAAGGTCTGCTGAGTGGTCAACAAGGGAGTTTGCCTTAAAGTTACACATTTGTTTTATGTAGTTTTTTGTGTTTTATTTTGCAATAAAAAAGAATATTGCTACTCCTTTCCCTTTTCTCCCCAACTTATGATTCTTTTCATTTTACTACTGTTACAACTAGTAGAAAAAGAGAATAGTCAGTAATCTACTTGTTAACAGCTCTGACCAATAAACTCTTGATGTAACAAACCTGCATCAAGAGACAGTTTGATAACATGGAACCTATGGGGGAAGGAATAAGGAGCTATGGTAGTTACATCTGTAAAAATGAATCCTTTAACTGAAAGAAACATAAAAATTTAAAATATGTTTACTCATAACAATCTTGAGGTAAATAAGGCAGGCAGCATTCTTTTCATTTGACTAATTAGCAAAGTGAAACCAAAAAAAGTAACTTATAAATCTAGGGAAAAAACCAAAACCATAGGATCAAAATCCTAATCCTCTGAAGAACTTAATCATATTATTTTAATCATATTATTCCTATATTTGGAATAGGATGAAATTTCTACCATATATTATATGACATACCAACACATACAACAGAATTATACTACAGTTAATTTGTTAATCTCAGGAAAACTACATCTGCAAATTCTCACATGGGCAGAATTAGTAGTACCTGTTTCTGAATCCATCTCTGGTTCTGTCCATCTGTGGTTTGCCAAAACCAGGCTGGTAGAAGTTTGCTGCCTGTACAGCAAGGTCATGTGGCAAGGCTACCCCCTCCAAAGCTGCCTGCTGTAACTCTAGCTGGCTCATCTGCTGAACAGAAGTGGCAAGGGAGGAGGGTCAGTAGAAGAATGAGCACAGTCAGTGCACTTTATACAAAATTATCTCTTAGCTTTTAGAAAGGTTTAAGCAGCAACTGAGAAAAAATTGATATTGCAAACCTGATGATTGTGTTGCTATTCACTAAATAGGATTTTAACTATTTAAGTATTACTTTATTTAGCAATTTTCTCACCTTCATTGAGCTTGCATTATAGTTCAAAACCACTTCTAAGAACTGTAGCAATTCAGTTCTACACCCCACAAGCAACAATAAGGTGAAAATAGATTGAGTTTTAGAAAGAGCTCAGCCTAACCTGGGCTGTGACAGGGCTCATGGGCTTGCGCATGCTTTGGAATGGATCTCCAAGTAACTGTGGTCCTGGCGTAAAACCTGTTGGGAAAGTTACAGTATCAGTGGCTGTCAAGATGGCATATGTGCATCAGGGAGGCATTATCACTAATGTGTGCTGCTCCTTGCTGAATACCATTCTCTTTGGGCAGCACTGACTCTCTGGGATGACAGATGTCCCTCTCCCTCTGTGTCTCCAGAGTGGGCTATGCAGACCTCAATCAGAGCACTTAATGGCCTGAATTGCCTAGCATAGATCCATCTTCCCCACTTAGCTGTCAGCTTTGTCCCTTTCAGAGCCAAGACCTCTATCTGGTAGAGAAGAGCTTTTCTAGCCAGCAGTTTGCCCCATCATCACTAAGCCAACTGGTACAAAAGCAGAGACCAATGCTGAGGTTTACACACTCTTACCAGTCTATCTCCCTATTTGTGGATGGAAGAGTTTGAAAACTGCCTCTTTAAGGTATTACTGGCAGGAGCCAGAGTGGCCAGCAACCTGAAGTGGTCCAGGATGGCAGGAACATTATGATATTCTATGCAGATACATTGCTAGGACAGCTTTCTGGAAGTTCTTTCAGTCACATTCTGAATTAGCCACAAGACTCTATCAAAATTAATTGCTTGGTAGAGAGACGCTATGTTGATTTCTACTGCGTATCAAGGAAAAACTTAAGAAGCCAAATTAACTTTTTTAGATTGAATTCCCAAAATAAGGAAGATTACTGAAGAGCTGGATCCAATTTGGATTAATTTCAAGAAAAAAAATACCTAAACATGAACATATTCACCTAGAAGGGCAACTGGAAATAGCTATCTTCCACATTTGCTCCTCCACCCCCCCAAAAGTATAATAAATTTTCATATTTCTTTTTAAACTCATAAAGGATGCCCATGAAAGACTGCTAGTTCTAGGAGAGAAGTATAACCTATGTAGAAGGTGGGGTGGGGGAGGACAGACATCTATACTCAAGTGTAATTTACCAATTGGTGATGGTATTCTTGGGCGAAGGTAGTCTGCTGAGGCTGCGCGAGTTTGAAACACCTGTGACAAGGGAGGAGAGGGGGCTCTTTGGCCCAGCAAAGATGTTGTAGGCTCCAAGCTCCCCATAAGGCCACTCAGAAGATGAGAAGTGGGTCTTTGAACTGGTTGGCCTAGAAGTTCCTAAAGGCAGAAAAGCCAAATCCCTGTAAACAAATTTAGTTCTTTCTAGTCAGAGGCTATAGATTATAGATTAACTTTTCAAAGCCAGGTGATGAATCTCCCACATGCTCCACCGAGGGACTTGGCATATGTATATGCAACACATTTCTCTGAATGTTCAGTTAGCAACATTTGCTTTAAGTTAGTGCTACAAATACAGGTTATATACTTAGTTTCACAGAAATTGCAAACCTGCAAACTAGAAATCAAGGCTTATGTCAACTTTTTAGCCACCCCCCTCCCATCCATTGAAATTAACAGCCACACAGAAATATGTCAAACAGCAATCTCAAATCTTTGACTGCCAGGCAACATGGATCATTCTCTAAGACCCAAAGATGTGCTACTACACAAAACCAGTCAGAAAACTACTGTTCAAGACTCCAAGGCCACAGTATAAGATTGGGAAGTACCTGTAGAATGTTCTTAGGGACAGGCTGGCCTGGAATCTCAGCAGGGGACATCAAATGGCTTTCAAGATTTCGCTAAAAAAAGTCAAAGAAAAACTGGCTTTAACATTCTTAGCATACTTAATTTATAGATTAATTGGGGACCATTAAGAAAGCATAAAATACTCCCCCACCAGGGAGTTGACACTTAACAGCAGAATAATGTTCAAGTCACAGAAAACTTAGATCAACTGGTTCTGCCCTCATATCACACAGGTCCTAAAAAATCGGAATGGAAAGACTGGTCACATGTATGTGCAAATTTCATTCAGAACCTCTATGTGCTAACCCTAGTCCATTTCCTTGTTTCTAACACCATGGCCAAAAAGTAGGGGAAAAAAAAAGGTGAAATTTAGGAATACTTATTTAGTAAGAAGCCAAAGAAATTGATTTATAGATTTTAATTTTTGAGACAACCTACTCATCATCATAGCTCACTGCAACCTCAAATTCCTAGGCTCAAGCAATCCTCCTGCCTTATCCTCCGAGTAGCTGGGACTACAGGTGTGGGCCACCAAACCTGGCTAATCTTTGTTTTTTGTAGCGATGGGGGTCTACTTTGCTTAGGCTCATCTCAAACTCCTAGCTTCAAGTGATCCTCCCAAAGTGCTAGGATTACAGGCATGAGCCACTGTGCCCAGCCACTACCCATTATCTTTAACAAGATTAATCACATATGCTTTTAAAAACCTAGTAAACAACATGCAAGTTTGGCCAGAATTGTTATATTTTAGAGTTTCATAGTTTAGGAAATGTAGACTTTATTTTTAAACAAGCCATTCCAACAAGTCATTCTAGTTTCCCTTCCACTAGATGGCGCTGTCAAAACCCACAGCAGTGTCCTTAGGCATGACAAACAGCCCAAGGATGCTGAAGTTTGTTATTGTTGGTTTTGGACCTGGGACTAAATATCGACGATTTTAATAAGCAATCTCCTCAAGAATTCTATCTAACAAAAAGAAACAGGTAACTTTATACTACATGGCTTACTATATTTGGAGAATAAAGTCTATAATTCAATTTAAAATGGAGTTTAGATTGAACATGTCTTATTTTGTGGATGAACCAATGTGACAGAACCTAAATGGATGGAGCATGGAGGAAGACCAGAAATAGCATACATAATACACACAGTAGTAATTAAAGACATTGATTTATACAGTAGAGACCATGGCTTATCCCAAAATATTACTTGATTTTCATGTTAACACCTGGTATGCTTATTCCATTACTTTTCTTATTGCTTTCTTTCCTAGGTTGAGTTTGTCTTAGTCTTTGCTTGGCCACTTCAATTATGTCATTCATCCCTTTAGCAGGTGTTTGAGGCTCATTCTCAGCTGAAACCAGATATTTTAGAGCAGCAGTTCCTAACATCTTTGGTACCAGGGACAAGTTTCATGGAAGACAGTTTCTCCACAGATGGGGTGGGGAGGACACAGAGCTCAGGTAGTGATGCGCAGCCTGGTCCCTAGCAGGCCATGGACCAGTACCAACTGTGGCCTGGGGGTTGGAGACTGCAGCTTTAGAGTACCAAAACCCCAACATCAAACCAACTACCTTTTTTTTTTTTTTTGCGACAGAGTCTCGCTTTGTTGCCCAGGCTAGAGTGAGTGCCGTGGCGTCAGCCTAGCTCACAGCAACCTCAAACTCCTGGGCTCAAGCAATCCTACTGTCTCAGCCTCCCGAGTAGTTGGGACTACAGGCATGTGCCACCATGCCCGGCTATTTTTTCTATATATTTTTAGTTGGCCAATTAATTTCTTTCTATTTATATTAGAGACGGAGTCTTGCTCTTGCTCAGGCTGGTTTCAAACTCCTGACCTGGAGCAATCCACCCGCCTCGACCTCCCAGAGTGCTAGGATTACAGGCATGAGCCACCGTGCCCAGCTCCAACTACCCTTATAACTCAGGGTCAGTTGTGTTAATATCAAATCCTAGAATCATATCTGAAACAAGATGTTGGAAAACATCAGGTAAACTCCTGAATGCCCCTGCCTTCATTTCTTTAGTCAAAAATGAAAGATAAGGCCGGGCGCGGTGGCTCACGCCTGTAATCCTAGCATTTTGGGAGGCCGAGGCGGGCGGATTGCTCAAGGTCAGGAGTTGGAAACCAGCCTGAGCGAGACCCCGTCTCTACCAAAAAATAGAAAGAAATTAATTGACCAGCTAAAAATATATATACAAAAATTTAGCCAGGCATGGTGGCGCATGCCTGTAGTCCCAGCTACTCGGGAGGCTGAGGCAGGAGGATCGCTGAGCCCAGGAGACTGAGGTTGCTGTGAGCGAGGCTGACGCCACGGCACTCACTCTAGCCTGGGCGACAAAGGGAGACTCTGTCTCAAAAAAAAAAAAAAAAAAGAAAGATAATTATAAGATTTGACCCACACCACTTCAGTTATTACCCAATCACCAAAATACAAAGGTAAAGAGAGAGAACAGGATAGTTTACAATCTTTTAAATCTGGTCCTCATTTGAAAGCATTTGTATTTAATGATTCTTTGTATGGAAATAACTAAAGTAGTTTATAAGAACATTCCCCTGTAACTGGTATGGTGTGGTTAGATACAAAGAAATGAAGTCTACTTATCCGAGATGCTTTCCCTTTCAGGAATAAGTCAGTCCGGGCACTAAGGCCAGGAATAATGGCACCTCTGTCTGACCAAACAGGTTGAAATCTCTATCATCAGCTATTAGTCAGATAAAGAACATTAAAAATCAGTTGCTTTCCTTTGGCACAAGGCATAGTGGATCAAACAGCTGTTTACACTTAGGCTAATTTGTAGTTCTCAAACAGAGGTCAGGAGGAAAAAAAGAGGCAAAATCCAATTTGGTAAATTTGCTATAGCTCAGCAACTACAATAATTCTGCTTTTATTATCCAAATCTATCTTGCTGCCCCACCACTCTGTATCAAGAGAGAGCAACACTAACACATAGGCCATGGCCGAGAAACCACTCTGTAAAAATTGTTATGACAAAGACCAGTATATGCTGCATTCCTGAATTTACTGACATGCAGTAACCTTGTAATCTAATTTCATGTGTGAAAGCTTAAAAAGTTAGAGCCACAGCCTTTTCCATTAGTAAACTAACAGAATGCAATTATTTTGAAAAATCCATCTTAGATACTTACAAATGATTTATATGACTGCTTAATCAAGAAAGCAGGTAATCCTAGGTATCTGGGAGTGATTAAAAGGTGTGAAAACAGGCCTGGCATGGTGGCTCCCACCTGTAATCCTAGCGCTCCAGGAGGCTGAGGCGGGAGGATTGTTTTAACTCAGGAGTTCGAAACCAGCCTGAGCAAGAGCAAGACCCAGTCTACTAAAAATAGAAAGAAATTAGCTGGACAATAAAAATATATATATATAAAAAAAAATTAGCCAAGCATGGTGGTACACACCTGTAGTCCCAGCTACTCAGAAGCCTGAGGCAGAAGGATCACCTGAGCCCAGGAGTCTGAGGTTGCTGTGAGCTAGGCTGACGCCACAGCACTCTAGCCCGGGCAACAGAGTGAGACTCTGTCTCCCAAAAAAAAAAAAAGGGTGAGAAAATAAAGTTTTTACTATAAAAATATGGTAAATTATAGTAAATTAAAAGTAGCTTAGCACTAACTTGAAAAGCTAAAATACAGTACTGTATAAGGTTGAATCTTTTAATCTTTACACTGTCACCCACAATACATAAACCACAGACCTGCTTTTTCTAGTGACAAATAGCATATTGATAATTTAAGAACGCACAAAAGCATCAAGGACCAAATGACTACTAAAGAATCTCCAGCTTACTCAGAATACCTTTTTAAAAATCCATTTATTATGGTTGGAAATGGAATAGAAAGAGGGAAAAGGAGAGAAGGCTGGGGTTTGTGCCAAATACTTACGCTGACTTTGGGCTGAGAAGGCAAAGTCCCACTTGCCTTCATGGTGCTCACTAGCTTGTTAAATGCAGTCATGTCTCCATCTTTCTTGAGTTGTCGATTGCTGGTTACAGCATTCAGGGTCTCCTCTTAGGTGTTTCTGCCATAAAGGGAGTTGAATTTTTCACTTGCTGATCCACCTTCAAACCCTTGAGCCCTGCTTCTACCTCTTCCACTGACAGTACCAACTCCTGAATGTGCTGAAAAGTTGAGAAAGCCCAGTTAAACCACGCAGAGATATTTGGTAGAAATTCTCCTTTGGCTACAATGTTAAGGGTAAAAATATTATTTCGAAAATTGATTGAATCTGTCGGAAAAGGCTAACACCAAATAGAGAAATTGAAGACAATGAAAAATCATAGTTAGTGGGAATAAGGCTATAATTTGTGTACTAGTAAGAGACAACATAAGTAAATCTAAAATATTAGATGCTAGAAACTGGAGGACCATAACCATGAGGTGTTAAGCTTTAAAACTTGATAAGACCTGCTATACATCCTGCAGAAGAGATATCTTATATGAGTCTTCTGGGAGACTTGTTACCTGGGACAGGAATCCCAGATAGTCCAACATCAGCAAGATTGATACTTGCACTATGGATATTATATCACTAAGTTTTTATGTTGCAGGCTTATAGCCTAAGAAAGAACATGGCAGATTGGATGAAGTAGTGAGGAACTGGCAAGATACGCTCCCAGAGAACTAAAGCATTCATTGGAATGTTATAATCCGGGCCTAGGTAAGAACCTGGAAGAAAAGTTCTTATCATGGGGCTCATGAACGACTCACTGCCAGATTTGAGGTATTATTATTTTGATAAAATGAGGTGTTTTTTTTTTGAACATTAAACAAAACCCATAATATATTGACTTCGTGAAAAAGTGTATTAGAACCAACTGTCTAAAGAATGAGCATCCTAGGCCAGGCGCAGTGGCTCATGCCTATAACCTTGCACTCTGGGAGGCCGAGGCGGGAGATCATTTGAGGTCAAGAGTTTTGGAGATCAGCATGAACAAGAGCAAGACCCCATCTATCACCCAAAATATAAAAAAATTAGCTGGGTATGGTGGTATGCACCTGTAGTCCCAGCTACTTGGAAGACTGAAGCAGGAGGATCACTGGAGCCCAGGAGTTTGAGGTTGGCAAATAAGCTAGGATGATGCCACTGCACTGTAGCTGGGGGCGACAGAGCAAGACTCTGTCTCAAAACAAAAACACAAAAAAAACGAACATCTCAAACTTGAAACACCCCTTTACCAGATATCTAAAGCAGATTCTCACGAATACTTACAGCTCCTTTCAGTTTTTCTTTATTTGCAGAAAGGCTGAAAGAAAGAGGTTTTAAATCCACTTTGGCTTTCTGAAGCATTTCTAAAATATCCACTTTATTTTCAGCATGGTCTTCCAATGGTATAGGAGCAAAATAATTCCCAGAGTTTTGTCCAGGAGAGAGGATGGCTTGCTCCAGACCTGATATTGTAAAATATACATTCATAATTATTGGTCCCAATAAAACACAAAAACTTATCTTAAGCAGTATTAAAAGGACACAAATTGATGTCTTTTCAGTGTCCAAAGACCAAAGGACCCCTAAGTAATAAAGGCAGAATTAATTATGTCAGAGAAAGCTCAAGTCTACATTTAAGGCCAGAATCTGAAGCCATTTTACCTGCGAGTTTCTCCAGTTCTTCATGTGGTGTTGACCCAAGACTGCTGGATTGGCTTCCTGATCGACTCGGGTTAGAGAACCACCTGCTGAACCGACTGGCAGAGACTGACCCTTCTCCAAAACATCTTCTATCATCTAAGAGAAAGACAATAGGACCTAAGATATAAGTGTCTAGGTGAAAAAGGACAAAAAGGTTCAAATTTTACAGAAGGGTCACTTACTTTGAAACTTCCTTTGATGCTGCTGACCTGAAGGTAAACACTCTCAGAACTTAGGATTTTTAACACCTTTAATTTTTTCTTCCCCTTCCTGGATCATTTCGGAGTAACCCAAATTGGGTATAACCAACCATGTATTTTTCAAGAATATAAAGCAAAGCCTCTATGCCACAGAGAGTGTTTTGGCTTTCTACTCTTTGCCTCATTAGAAAATCCATGTACTTGGGAGGCTGAGGCAGCAGGATTGCTTGAGCCCAGGAGTTTGAGGTTGCTGTGAGCTAGGCTGATGCCATAGCACTCACTCTAGCCTGGGCAACAAAGTGAGACAAAACAAAGTGTCTCAAAAAAAAAAAAAAAAAAAAAAATCCATGTACTACTGAATGTTCTCAGAGGACGTGGTTTCAAAGTCAAAATCAGCACCATAATGAACCATTCCATGGCCAGGCTGAAGAGTGGCCTTCAACTAAACATCAGGTATGGAGAACTGATGAAAGAAAACCCTTGCTTCAAACTTGGTGGTCTCAAGTTTGTAATGAACATTATGAAATTAAATCCTGACAATTTCAGAAGCCAAAAGCATGCAACTTATAAAGATCATAATTCCAAGTCAAAGTTTAGAAAGTATCACATTGTGAAAGATGAAATTTTAACTGATCTCTAATTCTATTTGAGCGTAGTAAGGAGTTTTCAGGTGTTTGTTTTCTTCCTAATCTGACTTCCGTGGTTTTGGTTTAATAATAAGGACAGGGCCAAGTGCGGTGGCTCATGCCTATAATCCTATTGCTTTGAGAGGCAGAGGTGAGCGGATCACTTGAAGCCAGGTGTTTGAGACCAGCCTGGGCAACATAGCAAGATCTTGTCTTACAAAGAATAAAAAAAATTAGCCAGACACGGTGACACGTGCCTGTAGTCCCAACTACTTGGGAGGTTGAGGCAGGAGGACAGCTTGTGCCTGGTAGTTTGAGGTTACAGTGAGCTATGATCTCACTACTGTACTGTAGTGTAGGTGACAGTGATTATTTTTAAAAACTTTAATTTTTAATTTTTTTGAAAATTTTAATTTTTAAAAATTATTAAAATTTTGTAAATAAGGGAAATTAAATAATGCACTGTCAGAAATAATTTATTCAACATTTTGTAATGGTAATTCCTATTATTTAGAATGGTAATATTCCTATCTTTCCTAAAATCTACATTTAAGCATAAAAATATTAATGTTCAGTTCTATCCTATATTTTTCCCTATCCAATCATAAATTCAGTTAAATACCCAAATTGATCTTTCTGTAATAGTCTTATCAATATTTAGAAAACACAAGATAAAGCAATCAATCAAAAAATAAGGCACATCCTTGAATATAAGGCATATATATACTTTAACTTTGATACCACAGATTAACAGAAAACATGTTTTTCCAAAAACTGGTACGTAGATGACAGAATTGGTGACTTTGTTTACCTGAAGTCTGAAACCCACAGTTCCTAATCAAAGTTTAGCAGAGGAAGGTTAGATTTATTGTTTGTTCATATCTCAAAGAATATTTTCATAATCCATACCCAAACTAAGCCACAAAATACTTCCCTTGGAGAGATTTTAATTCAAGGCTCTAATTCAATCATTATTTATGGAACTTCTATTTTGAGAGGATTTATCCACAGTTTATATCACATTCTACCTGTAGAATATCTTACCTTAAATAATGCTGACTTTCAAGTGCACTAATTTTGCATTAAAGTATAAGAGAAGCATTAGGAGTGATGTTTCACTGTGAAAAATTGGGGATTGTATCAAAAATATTATCCCACCTTAGGCTGGACACGGTGGCTCATGCCTGTAATCCTAGCACTTTGGGAGGCCAAGGAGGGAGGATCACTCAAGATCAGGAGTTCCAAACCAGCCTGAGCAAGAGTGAGACCCCATCTCTACTAAAACAGAAAGAAATTAATTAGCCAACTAAAAATATATAGAAAAAATTAGCCAGGCATGGTGGCGCATGCCTGTAGTCCCAGCTACTCAGGAGGCTGAGGCAGGAGGATCGCTTGAGCCCAGGAGTCTGAGGTTGCTGTGAGCTAGGCTGATGCCACAGCACTCTAGCCCAGGCAACAGCGTGAGACTCTGTCTCAAAAAAAAAATTATGCCACCTTAGTGATAAAGAGGAATTATTAAAGAACTAAAAGCTATAATTATTAAGAATGTTTTAATGTTCAACATTGAAATTTTACAAATAGCAAAAATGATGGGTTTGTTTTTTAACTCCTTTTATTTCCTGATCATTTTGCATAGGAAAAAAGATACACAGGAAGAACATAAAAAAGCAAAGGACATGGACATAAAGTATCTGGACATTTTCTAAAGATTAAAGTAAGTGTTGAGAAAGTCATTTCCGTATTTTGTTCAGTGTCCAACTTTGCTTCTGGTGGAGAAGCGGAGTTTTGTTATAGCTAAAGCATAAAGAGTAGAAACAAAGTTTCTTTTACACACATTTAGTGGAAATACTAACATCAAGAAGCTAAAGCATTTAAACCTAACAAGAATTCTAAGAGTTTATCTAGCCAATTTATTACCACAGAGCAAGCTGGAACACTCTAACAGCAGGGCCTTGCCTCCCGTACCTTGGTGCAGGAAATGGAGACCTGGACCCATAGTTTTGCCTTTTTGGTCAGGGCATCCTCTGCTACATCCTTGTCAGCCATAAGATAACTGACACAAGGAGCCTGGGAACTGGATTCTGGTGTTTTCATAGCTGTCCTTATTAGAGTAGATTTTTAATAGCAATTTAAGGTAACCTATACACTCACCACAGAGGAAGTCTACAGGAAAAAGAAAAGGTGGGGGCCTGTATGACTATTAATCTGGTCCTTCAAACAAAAGTCATTTAGACAAGTCATATTCTTGGAGTCATAATATTCTGGTGATTAAATAAATATTGTGAAATACTTTTGCTCTTTGACAATTATTTGGTTTTATTTATCAATGCTTGGTTTCTCTTCATTTTTATAGAAATTTCCATATTTTTATATTTGTTTTACTCTAGATGTTTGTTGGAATTTTTTTTAAAGTTTATTTTAGCATATTACAGGTTACATATTATAGGTTACATATTACATATATTGCCTTTGCCCCACCCGAGTCAGAGCTTCAAGCGTGTCCATCCCCCCCCATGGTGTGCACCAAACCCATTAGGTGTGTATATACCCATCCCCACCTCCCCCCTGAATTTCTAATGAATACATTTAAAGTTATTCATTTTCTTCTGAACATACTTTTGATTACATCATCAAGGTTTTCCTATGTCATGTTCCTATTAATTACTCTGAATAGTTAGGTTTCTCTGAGTACTCTACTGATAGAAAAAAAGAAAATCCATTAATGGAAAAAATATATTAAAAAAATACTTCAGAATTTCCAATTTGATTTCCTTTTTTTTCTTTTTTTTTTGAGACAGAGTCTTGCTCTGTTGCGTGGGCTAGAGTGCTGTGGTGTCAGCCTAGCTCACAGCAACCTTAAACTCCTGGGGGCTCAATCCTCCTGCCTCAGCCTCCTGAGTAGCTGGGACTACAGGCATGAGCCACCACACCCAGCTAATTTTTTCTGTTTTTAGTAGAGACGGGGTCTTGCTTTTGGCTGAGGCTGGTCTTGAACTCCTGATCTCAAGCTATTCTCCCACCTCAACCTCCCAGAGTGCTAGGATTACGGGCGTGAGTCACCATGCCCGGCCTGATTTCCTTTTTCTTTATTCAGTATATTTAAGCACCTGTTATGTGTTAGGAACTGTAGTAAGAGTTGTATCATATTTAATTTTTACTGATCATATTTATTTTTAGTTACTTATTTACAAAGTATTTTTATATATGATCAAAATTTTCAGTTTATATAGATTTTTGTGGCTGTCAATTTCTAAGGTATTGTGATGCTAGTGAATGTAGCCTACAAATATATACATGTGTATGTATATGTACATATATTTTTGATTACTTATTGTTTCCTCTGAAAGCCCCTTGTTCTGGGAAATGGAGCATGGCCAGAAAGGTGGCCACTCTGTCTCAAAAAAAGTTGTATAAAAGAAAGTGTATTCTTAGTTTTGTTACAATAAATTATGTTTGTATCTATTAATACCCCACATTTGTACAGCTAACTGTCGAGTACTGTTTCAAATACTTTAAGTATTCAAAATCCTTTAGAGCCTTATTTTTCTTATTTGGTCATTTTCTGAGCATTGTTCATCAGAGTCCAGCTGGTTATATAGCCCAGGGCATTTTTTTTTTTTTTTGAGAGGGCTAGAGTACCAGGGCGTCAGCCTAGCTCACAGCAACCTCAAAGTCCTGGAGGATCAAGCGATCCTCCTGCCTCAGCCTCCCGAGGAGCTGGGACTATAGGGATGGGCCACCATGCCCGGCTAATTTTTTCTATATATTTTTAGTTGGCTAATTAATTTCTTTCTATTTTTAGTAGAGATGGGGTCTTGCTCTTGCTCAGGCTGGTTTTGAACTCCTGACCTTGAGCGATCCTCCTGCCTCGGCCTCCCAGAGTGCTAGGATTACAGGTGTGAGCCACCGTGGCCGGCCCCAGAGCATGTTTTAATGATTCTAATTTTTCTTTTAAGTGGATTATAGAATATACCTTAATTAGCAGTACCTCCATGAAAAACATGGAAACAGACTTCTGACTGCTCAGCATTAATCTAGTTTTGGTTGAGGGCGAGGGCCAAATGATCAGATGGTGCTCAGTCCCTATTCCTGTTCTTTTGTTTTCCTTTGCTTTCTAAAAATTTTTCTTTGGTTTTCTTTCTTCTTCTTCTATTTCTACCTTTTATGCTTCAGAGGCAGTATAGCTGTATAGCATTAAGGACAGAAACTCTTACACTGCGTAAGTTAGAAGTCAGTTTCCACCACTCGCTCACTGGCTGTGTGACTTTGGGCAAGTTATCTAAATTCTGTGTCTATATCATCATCTGTAAAATAGAAATAGTAGTAATCATATAATGGATTTGTGAAGATAAAATTACTTACTCTATGTAAAACCTGGAACAATCAGATGTGTATTCATGCTGCCTCTTATCAAAAGTTTAGGTTTTGCACTTAGTTTGGATTAAACAGTAAATTCTTCCTCTAAGCATACAGGTGGAGTTTCACGAGTGCTCACATTTGGACCCAAGTATAGGTTTCTAAATTTTGACCTTCTCTTTGAAAACTTTCTATAATAAGAGTTCCATCTTATTGAGAGAATGCAAAAAAAGTCACCAAACAGTTGATGTAAACATAAAAAATTATAGTACCCTCAGAAGTTAAGAATTTGAGAGGCCCACTTAGTTGTTTTACATTGGATAAAAATAAGCTCACATCTGGATGTGACTCAAAGAACTATTAGCTAGGAGACTTACAATTAAAACTAATGCTAGAACTTTAGGAACAAAACCACATAGACAGTTGCCACTGTTTATTTGGAGCTGCATTCCACATGCTCCTTGAACAGTGCCATAGAGAAGTGTGGACCATGCTGATCTACACTGAGATAAGTTCAGAAAGTGAGGGTAAATGCTTTGAAACTTTTATATGCTAAAATATGGTCCTCAATGGAGTGGAAATAAAGCCTGGCCCCTCACCACAGAGAATTTAAGAAGTACTGGCCTAGCATTCACCTGTGGCAGTGTACCTGTCAGTGCTATGCAGTGCCTGCTCACTTGGTGGTAATCTTTTGGGTGGAACGAACATGCAAGTGACAAAGGAGTCAGGCCAACGTTGCCTGATCTGTTATGCCTCATTTTGTCTGCTCACACAGTAATCAAACAAGGACCAGTTATGGTTTAGTAGTAGAGCATTTAAGTTAAAATTCCATGAACCACCAATTCTAAAGGACTGGTTACACTTGTTATCTGGTGTTATAAATGGGACATCTGCAGTGTACAGATTTTTTTGGCCAAATGGTTTTTAAATTCTATTTTATCATAGTTCTTTGCTTTTTTTTTTTTTTTTTTTTTAGCAACCACAGAAAAAACTCATTTCTATGTGCACAGGTCACAGTTGTATCTCTTCTCCAAAAATTTGGTGACGCTATACTAATCCATCAATGCCAAAGGGGTAGGAGAAGGGCAAGTATCAAGTGAAGATTTAGGGATGGCTTATTGTTTCTACTGTTAGAGTCTAGAAAGACCAGACTCCAAGAGCTTAACAGCAACACTGACAGTATGGCAAGTTCCTTTTCACTAAATGTTTTTGGAACCATCACATCACGAAAGGTACTACCCTAACCAGGTAGCCTCCCCCAAGGAATGCAGGTCCAGTGTGACACCAATCACCAGTTATAACAAAGCCACCTTCACAGTAAGTCTTTACAACAAACACTTAACTCATTAAAAATGAAAGGAGACAATGTTCTTAAACATCTGAAGAATTTTTAGTGCAATGCCACTAGCATAGCAATAAAGTTAACTAGTAGAGAAGTCTCATTTAGTCATTTCCATTAAGCCTCTCAAAGCCAACAAAAATTCAAATAATCAAGAATAAAGCTAAAAACCCCCAAAGCATCTAGCAAAACATCACTTTAAAAGAGATGTCTTAAATACTTCGGTCAAATTTAATCATACAGTTTATAAGCATGCTGCTGCTACACTCACCGAAGCCAAGCCTGGCACTTTATCAAGGTTAAAGATCTCATTAAAGTCAAATTCTCCTGGAGACTGCTCAGGCAAGACAGCATCCCTTGGTACTTCCTGATCAGCAGCAGGCTCCTGTGCAAGGATGACCTCCACCTCATCCTCTTCGGCCACTCCTCCATTGCACTCGACTATTCCTGAAAGCAAAACCAGGACAAAAATAGTTTGATCAAGCAAACTGCACTCACTCTGTGACCTTAGCCATCAACACACATGCAGAAGAGCCACAGATGACTTTAAAAGTAGAATTCTTGTTTAAGTACTGCATTTGCAAGAATAAAAGTTTTCTTCATATAGGAGATAAAGAAGGAAAAAAGCCTTAATAATAAGCCAGAACACCAACACGATGGGGTAGAATTGTGGTTCCCCCTCCTAAGTGCCTAAAGTTTTCTATAGTATACTGGGTTCTTTACCTAATGGGAATTTTTTTTTTTGAAAAAGATAATCTTTGCAAGTCTCTTACTGCTTAAAAATGGAACCAAATTAATTTGGCACTGCCTTTGCCAATGTACCTGTACCAGCATTTTCAGTTAGGGTTCAATAACCTAAGTTACATATGTGAAACCTGGCAGGAGAGTGATTTTCACTTGCCTACATGTTGGCCGTAGCTCATCCTTCAAAGCAAAGTTCAAATGTTATCTCCTTTGGGAAGCCTGCCTGACCTAGTAAAATTAATTGCTGCTCTCTCTATAATCCTTGCTTATCTCTCAGAGTACTTATCCCACCATATTATAGTAACTCTTTTATGAAACTGAGCTCTCTGAGGGCAGGTAACCTGCTCTAATCAGCTTTTGTCTTACTCAGTAGTGCCAGATATACTTATACTGTAATGTACAACTGTAATGTACAGTTGTTTTTAGAATAGGAAGATAAGAACTAAGTGAAGCTCCCAGATGGTAAGATTTAAGGCAAAAACATTTTAATTTTAATGTTTTTATTTGAAGAACTGAACTCTCAAAGATCCACCCTGCAAAAGCATCTGTAAAAGAGTTGCCAGTAGTGTCAAGATCATGAAAGACACAAAGTCCTCCTAGGATAAAAAAGCAGCTCCAAAGCCTGGACCTATTCCTTTCCAAAAGTCCCCAACAATTACGGCAGTCTTGTTATCAGCCAGAATATTCTAGACTAAGAAAGACTAAATGCTAACAACTTCTGCTCTCATTCCAGTAATCCCCCAAAAACCTAGACAGTAAAGCAGGGAAATGCAACAGCTGTAAGATTAAGTGGGTTAGCAGGGCGTGGCGGCTCACAATTATAATCCTAGCACTCTGGGAGGCCGAGGCGGGAGGATCACCTAAGGTCAGGAGTTTGAAACCAGCCTGAGCAAGAGCGAGAACCCATCTCTATTAAAAATAGAAAGAAATTAATTGGCCAACTAAAAATATATAGAAAAAATTAGCCGGGCATGGTGGTGCATGCCTGTAGTCCCAGCTACTCGGGAGGCTGAGGCAGGAGGATTGCTTGAGCCCAGGAGTTTGAGGTTGCTGTGAGCTAGGCTGATGCCACAGCACTCTAGCCCTGGCAACAGAGTGAGACTCTGTCTCCAAAAAAAAAAAAAAAAAAGATTAACTGGGTTGCTTATCCAGGTGTCAATAGTAGCAAGTGACAGAAGGTTCAACCCTAGGGCAGCCACCAATGCTCTTTCATACCACACTGTGCAGGTAAAGCCAGCACTGCTCCTCCACATGGATGCCTGCCACCTGAGAACCCTAAGCCTTCAGAGGGCCAAGGCTAGCAGTGAGACACACATTTGTGAGCCATGGACAAGGCAACTGGCAATATCTCCAGAGGGTCAGTATATGCTTACTGCCAGCAATCAAAGGTAAATGCTATTCCTTAAAGACTGATATTTAAACTACAATGACTGCTTTGGTGCAGGAATTATTCCCACATTATAAAGAAACTGTGCCCTAGAAGAAGTTTCCCAATTTAAGGATGACAGCCAGAAGAGAGTGTACTTTGCTCATACATTTACAAAAGAAATTTTAATATTTCTCTGATTCATGTTTGTGTTGAGATAAGACATCTCTTAACAGATGAGTGGCTTTTTTGTTTGTTTTTGTTTGTTTGTTTTTTTGAGACAGAGTGTCACTCTGTTGCACAGGCTAGAGTGCCGTGGCATCAGCCTGGCTCACAGCAACCTCAAACTCCTGGGCTCAAGCAATCCTGCCTCAGCCTCCTGAGTAGCTGGGACTACAGGCATGTGCCACCATGCCTGGCTAATTTTTTATGTATATTTTTAGTTGGCCAATTATTTCTTTCCATTTTTAGTAGAGATGAGGTCTTACTCTTGCTCAAGCTGTCTCGAACTCCTGAGCTCAAACGATCCTCCCGCCTTGGCCTCCCAAAGTGCTAGGATTACAGGCATGAGCCACCGTGCCCAGCCAGATAAGTGGCTTTTGCAAGCAGCAAGAAGAGTACCCCATATGCAATTCTGTGCCTGCTCCAAGCTCACTGGAAAGCAGACTGGGCCTAACAATTTTTTTTTTTTTTTGAGACAAGAGTCTCGCTTTGTTGCCCAGGCTAGAGTGAGTGCCGTGGCGTCAGCCTAGCTCACAGCAACCTCAAACTCCTGGGCTCGAGTGATCCTTCTGCCTCAGCCTCCCAAGTAGCTGGGACTACAGGCATGCGCCACCATGCCCGGCTAATTTTTTATATATATATCAGTTGGCCAATTAATTTCTTTCTATTTATAGTAGAGACGGGGTCTCGCTCTTGCTCAGGCTGGTTTTGAACTCCTGACCTTGAGCAATCCGCCCGCCTCGGCCTCCCAAGAGCTAGGATTACAGGCGTGAGCCACAGCGCCCGGCCGTGGGCCTAACAATTGAGAGTGGTACTAGTGATAAGAACATGCACCAGCAGACAAACACTATTGGCTGTTTATTTTGATAGACTCAAAAGCCAGGGACCCAAGTAAAGATAACTGAGAAGTTTATTAAATTGCAGAATCAGCATATACTTTCATGAAAACTAAAACTTTTTCTATTAATGAAGTGTTTTAACAATTTGTCCCGTCTATGTAATTTTCCCCGATTATAAATTTACGTTATTCAGACTATTTTATTCAACACCACATACACACATCACCGGGCACTGGGCCTCGTAAAGAGACTGACCATGTTTGTGTTGTTCACTGCTACATTCCCAGCACTAGCATGTGCCCACAGAGAACTGCTACATAAGTTCAGTGAAAAGCTGAATACAGACACAAAAACTGGACTAAAAGGCACTCTCATCATACCTCCTGTAGGGAGGTACGGAGGTACTTGGGCTTGCTCATCTTCGTTCACTCTTACAGCCAAGATGAAACTACAGGGCATTTATTTTATTTTATTTTATTTTTTTTAATTTTTTATTTCTTTAACAATAAATCTTGGTGAGAAAAGGGCATTTATTTTAAAGACAGTAGCACAGACAGCCTAGGGACCTTTTGCAATTAACTAGTGGGGTGAGCCAAGACCCCTGGATTCTTCTCGAGATCTGCCACGAAACCCATCCCCTCTCTCTCCAGGTCTCAATCTCTCTGCATCTGTTAAGTTGAGAAGGTACCTCTACCAGTCTATCGCATTCCACTGGCTCCTCCCCTCATTAGGTGAAAAGCCACACTTGCTGTTGCTTTAGTCTAACCAGGAATAAGACAAAAGGCATATTTCAAAGGCAAAGGGTCTCCAGTTACCTAACAATTTCCTACACCACCCTAGGGAAGAATATGTAATAACACAAAGATAATGGTAATATCTACTGTATTTTAAAGATTGTATATTAAAATATGAGTAATGTGATTTCTTCTTTCTCCTTCTAAATAAGTCCCATTAGATTATTTCTGCTTAAATTCATCTTAACTTTGTAATTTCAAGGTGGCACTGATTTTACATTAAAATAATTTTCTCCAAGGCGCGGTGGCTCACGCCTGTAATCCTAGCACTCTGGGAGGCTGAGGTGGGCGGATTGCTCGATGCCAGGAGTTCAAAACCAGCCTGAGCAAGAGTGAGACCCTGTCTCTACTATAAATAGAAATTAATTGGCCAACTAATATATATATATAGAAAAAAATTAGCCGGGCATGGTGGCGCATGCCTATAGTCCCAGCTACTCGGGAGGCTGAGGCAGTAGGATCGCTTGAGCCCAGGAGTTTGAGGTTGCTGTGAGCTAGGCTGACGCCATGGCACTCACTCTAGCCTGGGCAACAAAGCAAGACTCTGTCTCAAAAAATAATAATAATAATAATAATAATTTTCTCCTTTTGTTGCCTAGTATCTGCCACAAGTTTTTTTCAACTAAACCTGAAAGATTGAAGGAACTAGAATTTACTAAGTAACTGCCCACTAGAGGCTGACTTCTGATGTGTACTGAGTTCTGATTTGATTGTCAATGCTAAAAGTAACCCTTAAGTTATAACAGGCATTGACTTCACTTTACAAAGAAACAGGCCTACCTGTTAAGATTTTGTCTAAGATTATCCTCTTCTAAGTAGCCACCCCAGTACTCAAAACCCAGGCTAGCCCACCTGGCTCTTCACCATGGCCCTGCACTGCATCTTCCCAAGACCCTCAGCCTGTGGCTAGCCACCTCAGAGCCAAGTGACTGCCCTGAAAATAACCAGCTACAGACCAATGGGCCCTCACTCTGCACCTGGTACTTCATACACATTAGCTCTGGCTCCTTCAGTTTAAGCAAGGGAGACCCCTGACCTTATTATCTTATAGCTGAGACAACTAAGTTTAGGAGGAGGCAAGTCACAAACAACTAATCGGGGAAGGTCTAACACCATGGTGAAGAAGGTGGGCTCTGAAGCCAAAAGCATCTTGCTCAACTCCCAACTTTACTTCCACAGTGACCTTAAGTCACTTAAGCTCTTGGAGCCTCCATTTCCTCATCTATGAAATGGGCATAAAAGTACCTACACCACACAGGGTTGTTAGGAAAAGACAAAACACCATTGTTAGTACATAATTGCTCAATAAATGAGACTCCTCATCATTTCTACCACGTTTCTTATCTCTGAGGAACCATTTCATGTATGCAGTGCTCTCATAAGGTAACATGAAACTTTTGTTTAGGGTGGCAGAACAACTTTAGGAGATAGTACAATCTACACTTAGTGAATTCTCACAGAGGAAGCAATTTCAAAACCAGGCTGCATCATTAAAAACTTGCCATTTCCTAACATCTGGTACCCATTCCTAAATGTACAATAAGTCAATGATAATCCATTTTAAAAACAGTGAACTTCCCTCTCAAAGTTTGCACTGACCTTCCTTCACAGAGGCTGTCCGTCGCCTTGTTCTTTTTCTCCCTTTGTGATCTTCTTCTAGTATCTTATCATCAAAGCCAGTCAGTTCAATGGTTTCAGACTGACTTGTGGGTCCAGCTGAGAACCACTCTGGTTCTTCTTCTGTGTAAGAATCATTTCTTCTACGCTCACCAAAGACACGCTTACTATCCCCAAACTCCCTCTAGAAAAGTTCATAAAGCAAAATTAAAAGAATTCTAGTCATTTCTACTTCAATTAAGATCTTAAGGAATTAAGTAATGCTCAGTAGTGAAATGCAGATATGTGGTAGACACAAAGCCCATCACCGTACACCCCACCCCAACTCTCTATGCTCCTCCCTGACTGGTTTAACAGTGTGCTGTGTTCATCCAGCTTCTCAAAGTAATCTGGTATGAATGAAGTGAACATCAAGTCCCCAAGCACATGAGGTACCAAAGCAAAGGGTCCAGAAGACAAACCCTGAAACGCTTGTCCTTGTAGTCCCTCTCGCGGTCTCTGTCTCTCAAGTCCCGAAGGTCCTTATCGCTAAGCCGGTGATCCTTCTCAAAGGTCCGGGCAGAGATTATTCTCCCACTGCCAATCCTACGTCCACCAAGCAGACGAAGCCCATCGCTATCTTTCTCTAATGGACTTCCCGAGCGCCGGGAGCTAACAGCAGCCGTCACGTGGCAGCCCCCTCCAAAGCTTCGTCTCTGTGGGCTGAGAACAACATCTAAGTCGTCTTCTTTCACCCGCTCTCGTGGATCTGGAGAGATGCAGGAAAGAGAAAATTAAACAAACCAACAGGGGCATATTTTTCTTCTTTAGGTGGTATGTCCATGACTGATGGGGGGAGGACTAGAAGAGAGTCATCACTAAAATTGGGCTTATCAACATATTCACAGTAACATGTACATTACATGTTTATAAATAAGGCTGAGACTTTTGCCTTTTCTCTTTAGAGCAATAAATGTACTTCACAATAAATGATTTTCCATGATTAGTCTGTGCAATGCCTTCATTTTTACTAAGTCCTTATCTATTAATTATTAGCAAATGTTTTGTCAACTAGTAAACTACAATAGGTGTCAGTATTTGAAAAAATAACTGCTTAAAAAATTAAAGTGTCTCTTCAACAAATGACGAACAGTTGGATATCCACATACAAAAAAATGAACTTGAATCTATACCTGGTGCTATATGCAAAAATTAAATAAAAATGGATGACATATCAAAATATAAAATCTAATACTATAAAACTTCTAGAAGAAATATAGGAGGAAATCCTTGTGGCACTAGGTTAGGAAGTTTTCTCAGGCATGACACCAAAAGCACGATACATTTAAGAAAACTGACAAACTGGGCTTGTTCAAAATTTAAAACTTCTGTTTTTTAAAAGACAACTGTTTAGAGAATACAAAGACAAGCCACAAACTGGGAGAAAAATACTTCAAAGCACATTTCTGATAAAGGACTTGTATCCAGAACATATAAAAACTCTTAAAAACTTAATTAAAAACAGGCCGGGCAGTGGCTCACGGCCATAATCCTAGCACTCTGGAAGGCCAAGGCAGGCGGATTGCTCAAGGTCAGGAGTTCAAAACCAGCCTGAGCAAGAGCAAGACCTCATCTCTACTAAAAAAAATACAAAGAAATTAATTGACCAACTAAAAATATATGGAAAAAATCAGCTGGGCATGGTGGCGCATGCCTGTAGTCCCAGCTACTTGGGAGGCTGAGGCAGGAGGATTGCTTGAGCCCAGGAGTTTGAGGTTGTTGTGAGCTAGGCTAACACCATGGCACTCTAGCCCAGGCAACAGAGACTCTGTCTCAAAAATAAATAAATAGAAATAATAAAAAAACTTAATAAGGCCGGGCGCTGTGGCTCACGCCTGTAATCCTAGCTCTTGGGAGGCCGAGGCGGGCGGATTATTCGAGGTCAGGAGTTCGAAACCAGCCTGAGCAAGAGTGAGACCTCGTCTCTACTGTAAAAAATAGAAATTAATTGGCCAACTGATACATATAGAAAAAAATTAGCCGGGCATGGTGGCACATGCCTGTAATCCCAGCTACTCAGGAGGCTGAGGCAGCAGGATTGCTTGAGCCCAGGAGTTTGAGGTTGCTGTGAGCTAGGCTGGCGCCACCACAGTCTAGCCGGGCAAGAGAGTGAGACTCTGTATCAAAAAAAAAAAAAAAAAAAAATTAAAAAAATGGACAAATAGTTTGAATAGACACTTCAAAGAGGTTATATGGATGGCAGATAAGCACATGAAAAGATACTCAACATCATTAGTCATTAGGGATATGCAAATTAAATCATATGATACCACTATGCACCTATTAGCATGGCTAAAATTAAAAAGACTGACCATTCCAAGTGCTGGCGAGGATGTGAAGCAAGTGGAACTCTCATACACTGCTGGTGGAAACGTAAAATGGTACAACCACTTTGGAAAACAGTTTGGCAGTTTCTCAAAACATTAAAAAAAATCTACTATACGATCCAGCCATTCTACTCCTAGGTTTTTACCCAAGAGAAGAAAAGAAAGCATATGTCCATACAGAGTTGTACATCAATGTTCATAGCAGCTTTAGTTACGACAGTCAAAAACTAGAAACAACCCAAATGTCTACCAACAGATAAATGGATAAACTGTAGTGAATCCATACAATGGAATACTACTAGGAGATAAAAAGGGGGAATAAGCTCTATACTGAACAATATGGATGAATCTTAAAATTATTCTGTGTGAAAGAAGCTACACAAAGAGTACATATAATAATTACATTTATATAAAATTCTAAGAAATGTAAGTTAATCTCTAGTGACAGAAAGCAGACCAAGGTGAGGAGGCGTTAAAGGGAGGCACTCACAGGGATACTAGGGAATTGCTGGGGGTGATGAAAATGCTTATGATGTTGATTGTGGTGGATACACATGTCAAGACATCAAATGGTACATAGTATGTGCAGTCTATTGTGTGTAAATTATCTCATTAACCACTTCGGTACTAGAGTCAACTATAGTCGATAGCCACAGATGAACACGCACAGCACAGCGTCGACTTTAGCCGACAGCCGAGATATGAAGGCGCACAGCCAAGGGTCAACTTTAGTGTTAATAACAAAACTTCTACAACAGTACTCTGAATCAAGGCAATACAACCCTTGTACTGCATCAGACAATCTCATGCACTTTAGAGAAAGACTTTTCCAGCACCTTACAATAGTGATAAAACAAAAAGGAAAAATTCATCAAGAAGATGTACTGTATGCTCAAAAAATAATAAAAGGTGTAGTACTAGATACTATTGTAAACAATGTAATATTGGCCTATGTGTAGCCCCATGCTTCGCAATTTATCATACCAAAGAAAAAATTTATTGTAATATTCAAAAACTTGTCTTATATATGATATGAATGAAATAAAACTATAATTTTGAATTGACTTCTAATTTTTCATTTATCAAAATAAAATTGTGAACATTTAAAAATAATGTAATAATAACATATATGTATATGCTACCTATTCTGATTTACATTACAAGTAAAGCTGCCTGTAAAGTGAAACAAGCTTTCAGTGCTTTAAAGCTTTCCTCATCACACAAGAGCAAAACACATTCGTTGTCAGTGCACAGCACAAACTATCATGCGGACTATGAGTGCCAGCTGTGGGCAAGGTTTCGCAGCCGGTGAGCGCCATACTGAAGTGGTTAAAGGTGTAAGAAAAAAATAAACATATCACCACATAAAAAAAATCTCTTCCTAGAAAAACTAGGAAACTGAAGGTTAGTTTTATTAATGCTCTTATCAGAAACAGGTCCTAGATTATTCTGGTATATACTTTTCCAGAATTTCTCTGTACAGTTAGTTTTTTCCAAAAAGAGTATATAATATAGACAGTTTTGTATAACTTGGTTATGACTCAATATTATGAATATTATTTTCCAATAAACATGTATGCAACATGTTTTTACAGCTGGACAATGTAATATTCCTTCATATGGATGTTCCAAAGTTTTCTCAATCTACCATTTCTATTTCTGCTATTGAATTTTTAAGTTTCTTTTTAGTTTTCATCATTTTAATAAAGTTTCTGTGTATATCTTTAATGATTCTGTTAGAATAAGTTATTTGAGGGACATTACTGCACTAACTGTACTATTGACTGTGTGTAGAAGGGTCTTAATAGTTTAAACTATAGTCACTCATATCATCTTTGCTCAGTTCCAAATTGTTATGACAGATCTTCCTATCATCTCAAAAGGAGTTCTGGCAACAAGTTCCTTGACTGGCTGTTACATTGCCTTGTCTCCATGTCACCCTTAAATCTCTTTTCGAGCTCAAAGGGGTAAAAGACATGGAAGATCAAACTTTACTCCAGTTTCAAACTATATCCAAACCTTGTATTTAGACCATAGTCCACTGTTTTGTTATTTTTTTTTTTGAGACAGAGTCTCACTCTGTTGCCTGGGCTAGAGTGCCGTGGCGTCAGCCTAGCTCACTGCAACCTCAAACTGCTGGGCTCAAGCAATCTTTCTGCCTCAGCCTCCCAAGGAGCTGGGACTACAGGCATGCGCCACCATGCCCGGCTAATTTTTCTATATATTTTCAGTTAGCCAATTAATTTCTTTCTATTTTTAGTAGAGACGGAGTCAGGCTGGTTTCGAACTCCTGACCTTGAGTGATCCTCCTCGGCCTCCCAGAGTGCTAGGATTACAGGCGTGAGCCACTGCGCCTGGCCCATTATGTATTAAGAATTGCCAGAACAGGGCCGGGCATGGTGGCTCACGCCTGTAATCCTAGCACTTTGGGAGGCCGAGGAGGGCGGATTGCTCAAGGTCAGGAGTTCGAAACCAGCCTGAGCGAGACCCCGTCTCTACCAAAAATAGAAATAAATTAATTGACCAACTAAAAATATATATACAAAAAAAAATTAGCTGGGCATGGTGGTGCATGCCTGTAGTCCCAGCTACTCGGGAGACTGAGGCAGTAGAATCGCTGAGCCCCGGAGATTGAGGTTGCTGTGAGCCAGGCTGATGCCACGGCACTCACTCTAGCCTGGGCAACAAAGTGAGACCTCTGTCTCAAAAAAAAAAAAAAAAAAGAATTGCCAGAACTGATTCATACTTGAGGACTAATCTCATGAGAGACAAACCATGATCAGATTTCAGCTCAGCTTTATGCTACCTATCATACCTAATTCAGTTATTTGTGCCAACGAAAGCCATCAATGCTTTTAATACAAGAGCATACAACCCAACACGGCTTACTCACCACTGCTAATGTAGGAAGACTATGACTACTCTGCTGTAATTAGGAAAGACCCAACTGGTAAATCAGTTTGCTGATAATGACATTTTCACCCAATGCATAAAACTCTCACAGCAGCCAAGAGCACGCTCCCCCAAATCATCACCCCCACTTCTGAGTGGCTGTGTGCTCACCTACTATCCTGCGCACCAGAGAAGGCCGGTCTGTATCCAACTCTTTCTTCAGACTTTCCACTGGTGAGCTCCGTCCTGATGCTGGGTAGAGAGAGGCATGCCACTTCTCAGGGTCCCAGACACCATCACTACAGGTCAAAAGGTACCAACGGTTAGCACTTATACCCAGGAACTATGCAGGTAGTCTAATTTCTAAACCTCTTGAGGTAATAAGTTATAGAAACCTTTTTCCAAAATAAAACTTCTTGGTTGCCTTTAGAATGCTTACCTCTTCTAAGATGAAAACTATCAATTCAGTAATGCTTTGTTGTTGTTCACATAATACCAATAGTTACTAGACAAACAATGATTTGTGCACAACTGAAACATTTAGACCATAAACCTTGGGGTGAATATGGATCACAATAACTACACCTGTCCTATGCAAGGAAGATGCTCTATAAATAATGACCGAGTTTACTGAAGTTTAATACAAGGGAATAAAAAATCCCTTAACCCTCTCATCAGAAGTAGCTCCTGGCATGTTTGCTGTGTATTTTTCTAGAATTTCTATGCACAGTTTCAATTTTTCCACAAGCAGAATAGACAGTTAAGAGCTTAAAATGTGTAGTTTAGGCCGGGCGCGGTGGCTCACGCCTGTAATCCTAGCTCTCTGGGAGGCCGAGGCGGGCGGATTGCTCAAGGTCAGGAGTTCAAAACCAGCCTGAGCAAGAGCAAGACCCCGTCTCTACTATAAATAGAAAGAAATTAATTGGCCAACTGATATATATATAAAATTAGCCGGGCATGGTGGCACATGCCTGTAGTCCCAGCTACTCGGGAGGCTGAGGCAGTAGGATCGCTTGAGCCCAGGAGTTTGAGGTTGCTGTGAGCTAGACTGACGCCACGGCACTCACTCTAGCCTGGACAACAAAGCAAGACTCTGTTTCAAAAAAAAAAAAAAATGTGTAGTTTAGGTTTTGTTATTCCCTAATAATGGGGTGGCAGGTGCACAGTGCACAGAGCAAAATCTCTGGAGCCCAACCATCTGGGCTCAAATTCTAGCTTTGCTACCCACCACTTGGGGCATTCTGGATAAGTTATTGAGCTGTATCTTCTGCAGCAAGGACTTCCTCAACCTTATCAGAACAGGTTGCGCTATACACTAGCACAAGTGAAGTAGAAGTGTAGTGTCCCACACCTGTCCTTTGCGGATTGTAATATTTATAATGTTGAACTCTTACAAGTATTTGATTTGATCGTATCCTTCCCCAGACCAATGTTCCATGAAGGCAGGGAGTATCTGAGAGCACTCGGCACAGTATTTATTTACCACATGGCAGGAACCAACTAAACATTTCTTGGATAAATGAGTCAACCTCTCAGTCTCAACTCCTCACAATAAAGAGATATTACCTACCTTCTAGGGTGGTTGTGAGGATTACTTGGAGTTTAAGAGCCCAACAAATTTTAATTCTCTGAGAGAAGAGAAACAAAAGAATGAGAAGCTTTCTCTTCTATCTCTGTTATTTTACTAGGCACAATGTCTCCACTTCAGAATAAAAGCTCTATGTCTGCCCAAGATAACTTTATTTTATGCCAAGAAGAAATGGTGTTTTAACAATAAAATTCAACTTGAGGCATAACTTTAACAAAAAAACAGCTTCTCTGACACTCAGGAAAAATCCTAACCAACTGGAATAGCCATTATTCAACTATCACCTTCATCAGGGGAAGGTGGTAAGGCATCCAGGTTTAACAGCCCTTCTCAACAGTCCATATACAAATTTTAAAAAGTCTATCCTATTCAACCATGGAATTAAACATAGTATGATGCTTTATGTTAAAAAAATAAAATTAAATTAAAAAAAACGTGGGCTAGGCTGGGTGCAATGGCTCATGCCTGGAATCCCAGCACTTTGGGAGGCTGAGGTGGGAGGATCACTTGAGGCCAGGAGTTCAAGACCAGCCTGTGCAACATAGCAAGACCCCCGTCTACCAAAAATAGAAAAATTAGCCAGGAGTTGTGGCACACGCCTACAGTTCCAGCTACTTGGGAGGCTGAGGCAAGAGGGTCACTTGAGCCCAGGAGTTATAGGCTGCAGTGAGCTATAATCATGCCACTGCACTCCAGCCTGAGCAACAGAGCAAGACCCTATCTTAAAAAAAAACGGGGGGGGGCTAACACGAACCATCTACCATATTTAAGAAATGACTAAGAAGAGCATAAATAATACAATATAGGATTACTGGACATTTTCAGACCATTGTTAGCTATAACCTCATTAAACCAAAACCATCTCCCTCTTATGAAGGAACCTAGGATGCAATAGGGTAATCTGAATGGCTGAACAGTTCTTCTGTCTAAGGGCTCAGAGCCCTCCTGATCAGCACACTTGGGGCAGGCCCTTGAGGAAGCACGCTCAAAGCACAGTGCAAAAACCACTGGTAGAGGGAAAAGACACTGGTGAAGACTCCTAGGTTCAAGTGTTTATTCTGCTTTCTGACTATGTGACTGACCAAGTCATTTCTAGTTTTAGTTTCATTACCAGGTAGTTGAAGCTCATGTTATTACCTCTTGAAATCCCTCTTCCACTTACAATTCTACCAGAACACTTCAAAACAATAGAATTCTTAATTTACCAAGTTTAATATAACAAAAAGTTAACAACTAGAAGAAGTTAATGACTAGAATAACACCCAATGACAGCCATACCTGTCATATTTTTCAGAAAGGCATGAAGGCCTCTGTTTGGAATGGGGGCGTTCTTTTATGTCCAAGAGCTCCTCCTGAAAAGAGAAATCACATTTCTCAGGTTACACACTTTCAACCTATTTCTGTTCTAAATAATTCTGAGTGTCTCGCTTAAACATTTCACATAATCCTTGTACCTTATACCTTGACTTATTTCATAAAGGACAAGAGTTAGATCAAGATTCTTATACGAAGCTCAAACAGGTTTATCAAATAATTTAAAAGTGATCACTTTCTTGCTAAAATACATTCTCTCATAATTGCTATCCAATAATATGGTTATTCCATAACACTGAATGCTCATGAAGGCATGGAAGCCTTACCCTTAGATAAAACCTGCACCTAATCTTACCACTTTTAAATGCATTAAGTAACAATTTACAAGGGTATAGTTTTTCTTTAACATAAAGTTGCAAGAATAAAAAAGAAAAACACCCATATGCTATTTAGCTGGATTCATCTGTTAACATTTCCCCCATTTATCATTTGCTCTTTTTGCAGAATATTATGAGACTGTTCTGTCACCCTGGCTAACATGTGGTGGTGGCGCCATCATAGCTCACCAGAACCACAAACTCCTAGGCTCAAGCGATCCTCCTGCCTCAGCAGCCCAAGTAGCTGGGCGTACAGGTAGGTGCACACCACCATGCCTGGCTAATTTTTCAACTTTTTGTAGAGACAGGGTGATCTCACTCTTGCTCAGGCTAGTCTCGAACTCCTAACCTCAAGTGATCCTCCCACCTCTGCCTGATAGAAGGCTAAGATTGCAGCCATGAGCCACCATGCCTGGCCTTTTTGCAGAGTATTTTTTATTGATACAAATATTTGTACATATTTACGGGGTACATTGTCATTTTGTGACATGCATAGACTGTGTAATGATCAAGTCTATGTATTTGAAGTGTCTGTTACCTCAAGTATTATCATTTCTATGTGTTGAGAACATTATAAATCCTCTCTTCTAGCTATTTTGAAATACACAATACATTATTGTTAACTATAGTTGCCCTACTCTGCTATTAAACATTAAAACTTATTCCTTCTACTTAACTGTATGTTTGTCCCCATTGACACCTCTCTTACCTGTCCCCATCTCCCAGCACCCTTCCCAGCCTCTGGTATGTGTCTTTCTAATCTTTATCTTCATGAGATCAACTCTTTTAGCTTCCCCATACAGTTTTTTGAGTCATTTGAGAGTAAACTGCATTAAGTCATGATCCTTTGTCCCTAAATACTTCAGTGCCTGTTTCCTAATAATGAGGATATTCTTTTACAGACTCTTATCTGGTTCCATGAGAATATGGCCCTACAGAAAATGATTTCAGTGATAATTTTTCCATTCTTCCAAGAATAATACTCGGCCAGTATCATAACAGATGCACAGGAGAAGCTAATCCATCACATACAATAGGAGGATTGTCAGTTTTTTACAACTACAACTATCGGTAATACTTTATCCTCACAATTCCAATTTTGTCAACTGATCCAATAATGTCCGTTATATTTACTTTCTTCCCCTATCCAACACAGGATCCAGTCTAGAATCAGATATCTGGTTGTCATGTCTCTTCTGTCTCCTTTAATCTTGAACATTTCTACAACTTTTGTCTGTACAACATTGACATTTATAAAGAATATAGCCTCTTTAAAAGAACATTATTCATTTTGAGTTTAATGTTTTCTCATGATTAGATTGAAACTAAACATCCCTGGAGCAGAATGTTAACCTAAGAGATGTCATATCCCTCTTAGAACATCACCTCTGGATGCCCATTATGTCCATCTGCCCATTATTAGTGATATTCATTTTGATAACTTGGTCAAGGTGTTTTCCAGCTTCTTTACTATTTAGTTACTACTTTCCCACTTGCATTTAGTAAGCAATCTGTGGGGAAACACTTTAACTCATCCAATTATCCTGGTCTTCAAAGTTCCCACCTAAATTTAACAAATCTATTGATAATTCTTCCCCAAACCACTGTTCATTTTCCAACTACAGCCCTCTCTGTATATTTACCACCCAGCACATGGCATTATACTATAAACACAAGTCTTCTTTTTTTCCTATTTACCTATTTATTATTGATATGGACTTGCAGATTCCTAGATATTTCCAGTGGTCTATAATTCATTAACATCTTTCATTATTTTGGGGCTCATATTGTCCCAGACTTTGCCAGTGGAAGTCTCTTCATGCTGGCTTATGTGGCCTTTCAACATGTCCCAAGCATTTCTTTTCTAAAAGCACTGCCTTACTCTCTGGCTTATCTCGTACCTATCCTGTCCCAGCCCTGGAATCAGCTACCTCTGAGAAATCTTAGTCCCTTTATGTGGGGAATGGCATAAAAAACCAAGGTCTGGGAACTGAGTATCCTCATTTGCTTCAAGGTCCTTTCTGCGGAACTAGAAAATATGCATTTATATAGGCATATATACACATACACTAATATGCAAACACCTGCTCATATACATGCATACACACACAAAAAAACGATTACTTTCTTTTGGTATACAATTTCATAACAAAGTGAAAAAAGCAATTTCCAAACATTCAGCACCAGTAAAATGCTGCAACTGCCTTGCAAAAAGGCATATGGCGCTGTACCATGACCTCCGCAACACTACCATGCGCCTCACGATAGGAGAATGTGCACTGCTTCTCACATCATTGCTTTCTTGTCTTGGGGTAAGGATAGAGGGATACATTTACTCTCTCAGCCTATAGGAATCACTGCACGTAAGCATACCATGCATTTTTTCTCAGTGTCTTTAGAAAACTGAAGCATCTAAATGTTTTCTTCAGGATAGCAAAATGTTCTAGAACCAGGTGACATTACAGTTTTAAAACCAGAATATCAATCAGGCATTTGCATTTTTTAGAATTTATTAATTGGGTAGAAATATCTAGACAAATTTAGAATACAGAGATAAACAGAATTCCTAATACAAGAAAATATCTAGAGGCTATTCAAAATGCTGGGAAAACTGTCAAAGCACTGACACCACCTGCAAATCACCAACAAAGACAGCAATCTAGTGAAATCTGCAGGGCAAACACAGTGTCAGACCTGTGGGGGGGCGACACAAATTTGGAGCTTGAGGGGTGTGCCAGGGTGAATGAACCAATAGTGGTTACGAAGATATCAGATTACAGTAAAGAAATCTTTAGGACAGGAGGGCTTAAAAATTTTCCAGTAGAAACAGGAAGGACCTTGCAATATAGGAAATACTTATACTTAACACTATAGGAAAAAATACTGCAAAGCAATTTTTTTGCTATTTGAAGTAACTCAAAGATTACATATTCACTTACCATCTCCCCATCCAAATAATATTAACTAAGGGCAATACCCATCACATTTTCTACATACAAATTTCTAAAGAGTGGGTTTTTTGTAAGGGCAATACCCATCATACTTAAATGTGCAAATTCTCAACATACAAATTTCTAAACAGTGGGTTTTTGACTCCAAAAGATAATAGGGAGCCCAAGTTACTTCCACAGTGGTTTGCTGAAACTCTAATGATTTTTACCTATTTATTTAGGAGTCAACCGGGCAAGATTTATACTTTAACACAGCCTCAAAACATCTATGAAAATCAAATTTTGGTCCTATTGGTGGGGAATCAAAAAAACATTGTAACGAAAGTAACAGCCAGCCTTAATAAAAAGGGAAATGAGGAGCCTAAGGAGAGATGACAGCTAAACATAATATGGCAGCCTAGACTGAATCGTGGAACAGAAAAAGTAAATTAGTTTAAAGCTAAGAAAATGTGAATATAGATTTTAGCTCATGACAACATATCAACACTGGCTCACTAACTGCAACAAATAAACCATGCTAACGATGTTAATAATAGAGGAATCCTCTACTATTTTCCCAGTTTTTATATAAATCTTAAACTATTCTAAAAAATAAAGCTTAACCCTACCTCATAGCATATACAAAAATTAACTCAAAATTTATCAAATATCTAAATATAAGAGCTTAAACTATAACTAGAAAATATAGCTGATGTCAATCTTCATGACCTTGGATTAAGCAATGACATCTGTAAGTACAAACCAATGGAAGAAAAAGATAAACTCGATCTCAAATTTAAAAGCTTTTGTGGGCTGAGCGCAGTGGCTCACCCCTATAATCGTAGCACTCTGAGAGGCCGAGGAGGGAGGATCGCTCAAGGTCAGGAGTGTGAGACCAGCCTGAGCAAGAGTGAGACCCCGTCTCTACTAAAAATAGAAATAATCGAGGCAGGAGCGGGGAGGAGAAGGGTGTATACTTACATAATGTGTGCAGTGCGCACCACCCAGGGATTGGACACGCTTGAATCTCTGGCACGTGGAGGGGGGGCAAGGGCAATATTTGTAACCCTAACAATATTTGTACCCCCATAATATGATGAAATAAAAGAAAAAAAAAGGAAATAATCGGCCAACTAAAAATATATATAAAAAATTAGCTGGGCATGGTGGCACATGCCTGTATACAGTTCAGCTACTCAGGAGGCTGAGGCAGGAGGATTGCTTGAGCCCAGGAGTTTGAGGTTGCTGTGAGCTAGGCTGACTCAACAGCACTCTAGCCAGGGTAACAGAGTGAGAATCTGTCTCAAAAAAAAAAAAAAAAAAAAGCTTTTGTGCTTCAAAGCCACTATCAAAAAAATGAAAAGACAACCCATAGAATGGGGAAAAATATTTACAAATCATCTATCTGATAAGTGTCTAGTATCCAAAATATGTAGAGAATGCTTACAACTCAACAACAAAAAGACAACCCAACTTAAAAACAGGCAAGGCTAAGTGCGGTGGCTCATGCCTGTAAATCTAGCACTCTGAGAGGCTGAGGTGGGAGGACTGCTTGACATCAGGAGTTGAACCAGCCTTAGCAAGAGCAAGACCTCATCTCTACAAAATTAGAAAAATTGGCCGAGCGTGTTGGTGCACGCCTACAGTCCCACCTACTTGGGAAGCTGAGGCACAGGAATGCTGGAGCCCAGAAGTTTGAGGTTGCAGTAAGCTATGACAATGACAATGCAC